CCCCCCCCTCTTTTCCCTCCCTTCTCTCGTTGTGGCACAGCTGAAATCAGTCCTGCTCCAACTCGTGCAAGATGAGAGTGGCTCGCTAGCCATCGAGCTCCGCACTCGTCTGCTCACCTCCAGCATCGAGCTGTTCCGCTGCCACGACGTCTCTCTGTTGATCGACGCCGCCTCCTCTTCCGAAGCTGCCGCCCCTCGCTCCGTCGTCGCCACGGATGCGCACGTCGACGCAGCGGGCTTTCGCTGTGCTTCCCTCTCCTTCCTCTCGCAAGAAGAGCTGCCCGAGCCGAGTCCCAGGTGGACGCTGGGAACACTGCAGCTCGATGCACCGCTACGGCACGTATGCGTCTCGTATGCATCGCGCGATAGCGTCGGCAGCGTCATTCTCGCGCCCCTTGCTGCTGCGCGCCGCGAGGAGGCAGACGCAGACGTTCTGCACGCAGAGGCAGACGCAGCCGCAGCCGACGGATCGGCATCGCTCATCGGCTTTGACGACGTGACTGTGCGCTATGCTGCGCCGGGAGGAGGAGGAGGAGGAGAGTGGGTCTCCTTCCATCTCTCCTCGTCCGTCGCTGCGACCTCGTCCGACTCGCCAGACGCGGCAGCGGCAAGACCACCAGCCGGCGCCCAACGCTTGCTCTCGCTCACGTCGGCGGGACAATGGCAGCTCGCCCCTCTGCGTCGAGCAGAGGGAGCGGCCGGGTATACTTCCCTTGGCGCCAACGAGCCGGTGGCGCGACAAGGAAGAGGGCGAAGAGGGAGCGTCGACAGCGGCATTGGGCTTTGAGCGGGCCTGTGCTTCATTCGCGCGGCTTGCTGGTCACTCTGAACGAATGTGATGAGCTGGTCAAGCATCTGATCTCGCACGGAGAAGAGGTATGACAAGACAGGTTGCGAGGCGGCGAAGCCAGCCTGGCGGTGTAGGTTCCAATACCATGAGACAGCGGAGCGAGAGAGAGTGAGGCAGCGAGCACAAACAGAGAGTGGAGAGAGCGTTGTACATGAGGGGGGCAGGCCCGGAGCAGGAAAAAGAGAGCCAGACAACGGGCGTGCGGGAACGGTGACGGAAGACGAGAGCGGCGGGTGCGATGCCGAGGCGGTGACGACGGAGATTGCGATGGATAGCAGACGAGCCAAGCATGAGGCGGATGTGGGAAAGACGTTGTTTTAGACGTCGATGTCCATGTAAGGCCGGCCCGCCAGCGGGTTGTTGCCATCGCGCGACACCGGCGGCACCGAGCGCAGCAGTTCTGCAATGGCAGGCAGGCGGCGTTGCTCCGACTCGTCCTTGTCGTCCGCCAGCTCCACGGGCGCCAGCGTCGGCGTCTTTGCCTCGTCCGATCCCTCCGCCTCGTCGTGCGCCGCCGCCGCTGCCGCCGCCGTCGAGGTGTTGAGGCGCAGAGGCGCCAGCTTGGTCGAGGGCGATGCGGGACGTGTGGCGGCCGCGGCAGCAGCCATCTCGCGAGCACGCTCGGGGAAGTTGAGGGCGACGAGCAGGTCGCGAATGAGACGCACATGCTGCATGCGCACATCGACGGGGATGGATGCGCCGACGTCGAGCGCCGCAACGTCGTCGGCGATGTCCGACACGGAGCCGGAAGGCTCGACGGAGCCGAGACGCGGGTACAGCGTCGATGAAGACGTAGACGGACGCTCATCCTCATCGACCGTGGAAGCAGGCGGCGAGGGAGAGTGCGAGCCTAGACTGCTTGCGGCGCCGTGCGAGCTGATGCTGCCGCTCAGACGCATCGAGCTCGAGTACGGCGTGGCACGGTGCGAGGCACGCGTCGTCGACGTGGAGAGAATCGAGCTGATGCTGGCCGCACTGCCACGGTGAGCGTTGAGCGCCGGAAGCTGACGGTAGAGACCGTGGCTCGCTGCCCGCGGACTGGTCTCCGAGGACTCGACCGAGGCGCCACGAGGCGAGAAGCGCGTCGAGCTTGTGCTGGGCTTGCGAGCCTCGACGTCCGTCATCTCATCATCACTGTCCTCGGCCTTGACGTCGCGCACCGACGACACCTCGAGGCTGCGGGCGACATCGAGCGGCGCGGCACGCGTCAGCGCCTCGACGCGACGGTAGTTGGCTGCGCCGATGTCCTTGGCTGCCAGTTGCGGCACGAGCGTGTGGCCGTGCGAGGCGCGCAGACGGTCGAAGGATGGGTATGAGACGTTGTCGGCGCCGTTGTAGCCGGACATCGCTGCCGAGGGGTACTGCGTGCTGCCATGCTGCAGGCCGCGCGAGGGCAGCTGGGCGATGGGACGACCATTCTGCCACTGCGGGTGCGAAGGCTGTTGCTGCGCCACGCCAGCGTCGGGCGTGCCTGCCGAGAAGTTGAAGAGACTCTCGTCGAAGCCGGGGATGTCGCTGAGGCCGTACTGGCTGAGGTTCTGCATGTCGAACGGATTCGACGGCTCGCTCGAGGCGTGGCTGGCGGGCGTGTGCACCGTGCTGCTGCCGTTGGTCGCGGCGGCGACACTCGGCGTGGCCGACGATGACGAGGCCGTGGCGGCGGCGAGGCCAGTCGAGGCGTTGTGGCCGAGCTGCAGCAGGAAGGCGTTGAGCTCGGCCAGGTCCGTCTTCTTGAACGAGTCGGGCAGCGACATGCGGCCGGCGTGCTGCGAGCCTGCCATGGTGTTCTGCGCGAGGAGGGCGTTGAGCGCGGCCGAGGTGGCCGCGCTGGCGGCCGGCTGCGACGGCTGCTGCGCCTGGTGGGCGTGCGGATGGCCGGCGTACGACTGCGGCGGAGCGCCATGGCCGTCGACGGAGGAGAAGAGCGCGGCGAGCGAGGCGTCGTCGATGCCGTTGGCGAAGGTGTGCTCGAGGCGCTGCGCCATGTTGGCGTCGTACGTCGGGCGCATGTGCTTGTTGCCGACGTCGTTGAAGAAGCCGCGCGTGACGTCGACCGTGTCCTCCCACGAGCGCTTCTGGCCGGCGGCGCCGCGCGAGAGGCCCATGTACGACGTCGGATCGTCGCCGTGCTTGGGCCGCTCGGGCGCGTAGTGCAGGTACGAGCCGGGCTTCATCTCGCCGTGCTGAAAGTAGCTCGGCCCGCCGGCGCCGTAGTGCTGCGTGCCCATGGGCGAGATGCCGGGCGTGTGCTGCTGCGCCCACACAGCGGTGGCGTGGTTGCTGAGCGCCGGGTAGCCGACGGCCGAGTGGTGCGAGACGGGATGCGAGAAGCGGTGCTGCGGCGGCGCGCCGGCCGCGTAGCCGCCCATGAACGGGTAGCCGAAGCTCGGCGCCGGGCCCGTGGCGCCCGGCTGGCTGGCCTGTGCGGCGGCGAGGTGGAAGGCGTTGTAGGCGACGGGGTCGGCGATGCCGTACGAGTGCGGGCCCTTCTGGCGCGCCGCCTGTGCCATCTGGTGCGCCTCGGTGTGGATGCGCTCATGCTTCTTGAGGTCCTGCGGCCGCTTGAACGTCTTGCCGCATGCATCGCACGAGTGCGGCTTGAGCGGCGTGTGCACTGCGTGGAGTCATGATGAGCATGGAGACATGCGGGCAACTGCGCCGGCGACAATGTCGGCCCAGCCGCGTGCATCTGTCTGACTCACCGCGCAGGTGGCTGGTGATGTGGTCGCGCTTGGCACAGCTGACGTCGCAGCCGGTCCACTTGCATGTGAGGCAGAGGTTGTTGGTGCTCTTGCGGCCGACGTGGTCGTCGCAGAGGTGGCGGTAGAGCTCCTCTGCGTCGCTGTATGCGTCGCCGCAGCCGTCCCACTGGCAGAGCGTGTTCTTGGCGGCGTCGGGCGAGGCGCGGCGCGGCGAGTCCTCGCTGTCGGAGTGCGTCGAGCTGGCGGCGGTGCTCATCGTGGGCGCGCCGGCGGGCGAGGCGCCGAGCGAGCTGCTGCTGCTGCTGCTGTAGAGGTGCGAGGAGGAGGCGCTGAAGTCGCTCCGCGCAGAGGGACTGAGATGATTCGACATGGCCGAGCGCGGGGTGGAGACGCGCCGGGCGAGGTGAGAGAAGGTGGTGGTGGTGGTGGTGGGAGGTTGAGTCTGGGGCTGTGGAGAGGGCGCGGTGGTGAAGCGGGGCGTGTGAGTGTGCGGCGAGCGGTGGTGGAGCGGAGGACGGAGTGGGCGCCGCGACGGCTTGGCGTTGGTGGTGGGCGAGAGCGGCGGCGGCGGCAGGCGGTGGGGGCGGGATGAGGTGCGCTGCGATGCTGCTGCGCGCTCTGAGGGCTGCCGCCTCGCGCCTCTGGGTGCTGGAGACGCATCCACCGCGGCCGGCTGCTCGGCTGCCTGCGCGGCGCAAGGCTTGGCTCGCCCAGCCGGCACCGCCGTGCCAAGACCACGGCGATCTGGCGGCACGCGCCCAGTGTGCGCCTGCCACGCCGCGCGTCCCGACTCGGCGCCTGCCAGAGGCGGGAGCCCGAAGGCCGCGGCAGCGCGCACGCACTCAAGTCACGCCGGCCGTGTCAGCATTTGCCGTGGTACACGCTCGCCGCATTTGCGCCCTGAGCCGAGCTCGGCACACAGCAGCCCGCACGCCGCGCGCACACCGCTTTGTGCTTCAGCTTCGTGGCTCGCAGCAGCGATCCTTGCGCGGGCTGAGCGCGGGCGAGAAGAGGAGCCATGCGATCGCCGCGTTGGCTGCACCTGCGCTGCCGACGCCGGAGGGTTGACGCAATGGGCGCTGCCCACACTGGCGAGATGCCTCTTGTGCCGCGGCAGACAGGCGGCGTGCCTGACGCAGCGGCACGTCCGGGGAGCCAGCCTTGGCGGCGGCTTCCTCTCCTCTCGTGCCCCGGCACCGCTCTGCCGCGCCTCAACTCCGCCTTCGTGCTCGCGGCAGCGCCGGAGCTCCGTCTCCTCCTCTTCGCCGTTCGCGACTCCCCTTGTCATCATCTCTCAGCAGGCGGGCGCGGGCCGCTCAAGCCGCCCCCGCGCCGGTGCTCAGTCTCGCGCCCCCCTCGAAGGCGCTGATGCACGCTCCGCGCGCCGCACAACCCACGTTCTTGGCACGCAGCTGCTCCCACGAACAGCGCATGCACGCATCTCGCAGCGCTTGGCACGGGTGTTGGGGCTTGGCGTTTCTCTCCACCGCACCGTCCATCACGTGCATGCCTCATCAGCCGCCGCCAAGCACTGTCCCACGCCTACGGTGCTCGAGGCATGTGTTCGCTGCTGAGGTCGATCCGCGAGGCGATGATGGCGTTGCATTTGCAGCTCTCGCAAGGAGCATCGTCCATCGCATGCCCGTCCGCTGTCGCCGACACGCTCACCGAGCGCGCAGCGTCCTGTACTGTCCATCAAGGACGTCCTTGATGAGCATCGCCGTCTGGTCCCACGCACAGTCCGCGTCAAGGACGAGCGAGGCCTCTTGGCGCGGCGCAGAGTCGCCGTCGGCCATGACGCCGTCGATGCGCAGCGTCGCCGCGGAGAAGACGAGTTCGTGGCGCGACAGAGACACTGCGCTTTGCAGCTGCAGTGTCGTGCCGTTTGAGAGGACGAGGGCGGAGGGGACGATGGGGTTGACCTCGTGTGAGAGTGGGACTGGAGGAGCAGTGTGCTGCGCTTGCGCTTTGGTCGCCGCGTTCCTGAGAACCAGGAGTGGTCAGCCACGGGAGTCGACCGCAGCTGCAAGTCGGTTGGACTTACTTGTCGAACCGCTTCACCAGCTGCGCCCACTGCTCGACGAACTCTCCCAGTGCGTCTGCAACGTCCATCTCCGTCTCCGCAGGCAGCGGCACCGCAGCGCACGAGATGAGGCGCATGTCGATCGGCCTACGTTGACGACGTGAGCGCGCCGCACCGCAAGAGCTGTGCATCAAGGCGACTCACGAATCAGGCACCAGCACGTCCGCCTCCCTTGCCACCCGCCAGTACGTCTGCAGCAGATCCGCATGTGCAGGTCGTTGGCGCTTCGCAGCTGTTGCATCGGACGTCGTGCCTGACGATGCTGCCTCGTCGAACGGGTCATCGCGCAGCATGCCCTCGAGCACGTCTGCGAGTTCATCGAGCGGATCGGCCTTGGCGTCGTTTTGCGGTGCGGAGGAGGTAGCCCACCGGGCGGTGATCTCGTCATCCTGCGAAGCATTCGTCGATGATCCAGACGTCGCTGCGGCCTTCGCCTTCTGTTCCTCGAACGCTTCCGGAACCGGCTGCTCCACGTCCACCACGAGCATCTTGCCCTGCTCATCTCTATACGTCAATCTGGCCAGCTGCAGTCGCTGCGACGACTTCCTTGCGCCCAGGCCCATGTTCGGATCGAGTGCGGGCACGTGTGCAGAGCGCGCGAGACTCAGTACCAAGGGCGGATGCGCAGGATGGAAGAGCGGCGCCACTTGCTCGCTTGCGAGCTCGGCAAGCGCTGGAGCGAGCGCCCACTGTCCGGAAAGCGGAGGCTGGAGGAGGGAGGTGGCAGAGTCGGAAGAGTAGAGGAAGTGCCCGAAGTGGACCTCACGCGTGTAGGAGGCGTCCTGCAGCTAGGACCAAGCTCAGCGAGACGCGCCTAGACGCTCGTATCTTACGCCGCAGACTCACCTCGACCTCCTCAGCTGCGTCCAGCTTCTTCCACACCTCTGCCATCGCCTGCTCATCCTGCACCTTCCTCAACTGTCGTGGCGGCGCGGCATTGCCGAGCTCCCAGGCTTTGTACTGCCGTGTCATGCGCCACGTCAAGCCTTCGCGCCGACTGAGTGGCGGCACTGGCTGTACAGCCGCGTGCGGGATGAAGGCGTACGTGGGTTCGTGCAGCGGTAGAGCCAGTTCTTGTTCGGCCGCGCTAGGCTCGTACGCCAACAGCAGCCTTTGACTCGCAGCGTCATGGGCCCATGCGCGAAGGAGAGAGAGCGCACGCTGGTGTGAGCTCGGTGTGAGCGCATCGATGCGCACGCTGGGCTCGTGCGAGGCGCCGTCGACGTCTGGCTCAGACTCGAGCGTGACGTTGGTGAGGAAGCAGTCGGACGCGGAACAGATGTCGCGCAGTACGCGCACGGGGATGGCGTCGGGGCGTGCGACGTTCGGAGCGAAGAGTGAGGAGAGGGTGATGGTGGTGCGAGTGATCGTCTGACGTTCACGCTCGTCAGCATGCGCAGTCATGCTCGCCTCGCCTCGAGCGGCCCGTCGCAGCTTCGCAAGCAGAACTCACAGACTTCCACTCCTCCAGCCACTTCGTCAATTTCTGCAGCTGCTCATCACTTGCCGCCTTGAGCATCATCTCAAATCCCATCTCCGCGCGCAGCACTTGCGCGTCGGCCGCTCCCAATCTGAGTTGCTTGCGCACCGTGCCAAACGGCACCTGGGTCGCGAAGAGCCAAGCCTCGGATCTGCGCATCGGCAATGTCTGTCGATGTGCCTCGACGGCTGCTTTCGAGGCTGCGCGAGAAGGCGAAGGGTTCGCATGGGAAAGAGAAGAGGCAGCAGTGGGATCTTGAAGCTCGACGTAGTTGAGTAAGATCTTGCGCACCAGCATCTCCTTGGCTCCCGTCGATGCGCCTTTGATCCCCGCCAGCTTGATCAGCTGTCCGAGCTGTGTCCTCGTGAAGGCCTTCGCTACCTCTCTGTACGTCTCCTTCCACAGTGTAGCCACCCGCTTGAGTTCCTCATCCACCTCACCCGCCGGAGTGCGTCTGGACCGCCGTCGACGCATACACTTTCGTGCGGCGCGCTCAACGACAGCGTCGAGCTCGGCCAGCTCGACGGACTCGTCGGCATGTCCTCGACCTCCGTCGACTTCCTTGCTGACTTGCGCAAGGTAGGCTGCCACATCGATGACGCTCGAGGCGGGCTCGGCAGGGAAGGAAGAGGCACTGCGCACTCTCGCGTCTTCCTCGGCGGGCCGCTTCGAGGAAGAAGCAGCCTGTGCCTCGGCTGCAGCAAGCACGTCGGAGGCGGCGGAGGAGAGGCTGCGCGCCAGCCATGGCGAAGGCGAACGCAGCACGCTGGCCTGTCCGCGCAGCAGACGGAGCGGCGTCGCCATGAAGGAGAGAGGAAGGAGCAGGAGGAGGTGGAAGAGGCGTGTGCTCGGCAAGAGGTGGAGAAGGAGCAGCAGCAGCCGCACTTCTTACGAGGCATCGTCACGTGGCTTGCACGCCTCGCCCGAGTTCCGCGACGGGCCGCTCCCACGCTCCGGCCACGTGGGAGCGGCGGCGCGCGGACGAAGCGGAGGCGGACGAGGCGGGCGGCGCCAGGCTGCGCGAGGCGTGGCTGCGATCTGCAGCGCATCAGCGGCGTCGGCGCGAGGTGTGAAAGGAAGCCGAGGCAGGGCAGGGGCTCGGCCATGCGGGGCCCTCCACCGGCACGGCGCAGCGTGACGACGGCATGGCGAGACGCTCTCTCCGCCGTCGAGTCAGGGCGAGTGAGAGAGGGTGTAGACGAGCAACAGGGAAGAATGCGATGCAGCGAGAGCTGGGCTGCGAGTCATGGCGCCGGGTCGAGCAGGGACGGAGGCAGGGAGGTGGAGCACCGGTCGTGCGAGCAGCGTGCGGCAACTCTTACTCCACCGGGCGCGGCTGCTCGCCGGCCGGTGCGGCGCGTGCATGCCGCTCGATGCCGCGATCCGGGGTGCAGCAGGCCAGCCGTTGCTGCTCGGCGTTGCCCTTGCTCGCTCTCGCCCGCCTGCTCCTGCTCCGCCAGCGCCGCTGGCGCTGCCTTCGCCGCGCTTAAGAGGGCGCCCCTGCCGGCGTGCTGCCGCCGCTGCTCCCTCCTTTCAACGCACCACCACCACCACCCTCTCCCCTGTCCGCTACCAGACAGCCGCTCCCTTCCTCGAGCAAGCACCGCATCCCTTGCCCTTAGCTGCCCCTGCTCTCACCCCACCCACCAGCCGCCCAGCATTCCCTCCTCGCTGCTCCAGAGCGCCGCCGCCGCCATGGGCTTCAACGCCGACACCGAGGCAAAGACGTTCGAGGCCGAGGTCGAGGCCGTCAAGCAGTGGTGGAAGGTGAGTCGCACGCGTGCACGCGTGCGATGCTCCGCTGTGCGATGCTGTGGCATGTCTGCCTGCTGCTCGAGTGTGGCAGCCCGGAACACCTCCTGCCAGCAGCGCATGCAGCAGCGGCGATCGCGCTGGCCGCGGCGGCGCACGGCTCATGCACCCGCACCCCGCACTCGCGCGGCCGCGCGCCAAGCCACGGCGCGCCTGAGCTGGCCGCTGCCTCCACCGAGCCGCGCATACACCTCCACTGCCAGGCCGCACGCTCACCTCTGCCGTTTGCCAGTCGCCGCGCTTCGCCCGCACCAAGCGCCCCTACACGGCCGAGCAGGTCGTCTCGAAGCGCGGCACGCTGCCCATCGCCTACCCGAGCAATGAGCAGGGCAAGAAGCTCTGGAAGCTGCTCGAGGCGCACGCCGCCGCCGGCACGCCGAGCCACACCTACGGCGCCCTCGACCCCGTGCAGATCACGCAGATGGCAAAGTACCTCGAGACCGTCTACGTCAGCGGCTGGCAGAGCAGCAGCACGGCCAGCAGCACCAACGAGCCCGGCCCGGACCTTGCCGGTGCGTGTGCTTGCTCCGGCCCGCCGTTGCAGAGCCGCAGCTGATCCCTCTGCGGCAGACTACCCCTACAACACCGTGCCGCTCAAGGTCGAGCACCTCTTCATGGCGCAGCTCTTCCACGACCGCAAGCAGCGCGAGGCACGCACGGGCATGGCGCCGGCGCAGCGCGCCAAGACGCCGTACATCGACTACCTGCGGCCCATCGTCGCCGACGCCGACACGGGCCACGGCGGCCTGACGGCAGTGATGAAGCTCACCAAGCTCTTCGTCGAGAAGGGCGCGGCGGGCATCCACATTGAGGACCAGGCGCCGGGCACCAAGAAGTGCGGCCACATGGCGGGCAAGGTGCTGGTGCCCATCTCGGAGCACATCAACCGCCTTATCGCCATCCGCCTGCAGTACGACATCATGGGCGTCGAGAACCTCGTCGTGGCGCGCACCGACTCGGAGGCGGCCACGCTGCTCACCACCAACGTCGACGAGCGCGACCACGCCTTTATCCTCGGCACGACCAACTCGAGCCTGCAGCCGCTCGTCGACGTCATGAACGCGGCCGAGGCCGAGGGCAAGTCTGGCGATGCGCTGCAGGCCGTCGAGGATGCCTGGACCAAGGCGGCCAACCTGAAGCTCTTCACCACGGCCGTCGCCGAGGAGCTGCGCAACCGCGGCGGCGCGCAGGCCGCCAAGGCCGACGCCTTCCTCGCCGAGGCGGCCAACAAGTCGAACAAGGCGGCGCGCCAGATTGCCACCAAGTACGGCATCGACGGCTCGACGTTCTTCTGGGACTGGGACGGCCCGCGCACGCGCGAGGGCTACTACCAGTACCAGGGCGGCACCCAGTGCGCCGTCAACCGCGCCATTGCCTTTGCGCCGCACACGGACCTCATCTGGATGGAGACCAAGTCGCCCATCCTGGCGCAGGCAAAGGAGTTTGCCGAGGGCGTGCGCGCCGCCGTGCCCGGCCAGTGGCTCGCCTACAACCTCTCGCCCTCGTTCAACTGGGACGCGGCCAAGCTGTCGACCGAGGCGATGAAGAGCTACGTCTGGGACCTCGGCAAGCTGGGCTTCGTCTGGCAGTTCATCACGCTGGCCGGCCTGCACTCCAACGCCTACATCTCCGACCAGTTTGCGCGCGGCTTCAGCACCGAGGGCATGAAGGCCTACGTCGAGCTCGTGCAGCGCAAGGAGCGCGAGATTGGCTGCGACGTCCTCACGCACCAGAAGTGGTCGGGCGCAGAGTACGTCGACAACCTCCTCAAGACGGTCACCGGCGGCGTCACCTCGACGGCGGCCATGAAGGGCTCGACGGAGGACCAGTTCAAGCACTGAGCGGTCTGCAGTCCAGCCTTCCGCCGCGCTTTCTCCCGTCTCATTCCCTCCCTCTACCATATCTCGCCTCCTTTCCTCTCGCGTTACTACCCTTCTCCCGCCTCCTGACTCCGCTAGTACCTGTACCTCTCTGTGTCCAAAAGAAACACCTCGTTCATCGTGCCGCGCCGTCTGAGCTTTCGCGTGAGAAGGGTGGCGAGGAAGAGATGTCATTGTGCGTGCTCGTCTGCTGAGGGAGGACGAGGGAAGTCCGGAGGAGGACGAGGTCCGGGAGGAGAGGAAGGGGAAAAGGTGACGGAGACTGGTATGCGCGGCTGAAGATCAAGGAGCGTGGAGAGGACCCGCCAGGGGTGAAAAGGTGACTGCTGTGCGACCCGCCAGGGGTCCAAGACGGTGCTGATGCATGTACAGACCTGCGAGCGAGACAGAGACGGAGGGAGAAGGAGCCAGTGCCGCGCTGCTCAGTCATCGGAGGCCCACTGATGCGCGCGAGAGTGAGCAGCAGCGAGGCAAAGACGCATCGTCGTGCGCGACTTACGGCAGGAATAGCGATGGGCTGTGCGTACAGGCGCAGGTTCTCGCTCTGCACCTCAGGCGTCACCTTCTCAGTCTTCATGCTCTCCGCCTCGCCGTAGAAGAGCGATGCATCGAAGGGCAGCGGCACGCCCTCTAGCCACGGCTGCAGCTGCGCCTGTCCCCCTGCGGCCGCAGCGTCAAGTGTAGTCGAGGGCACGACGAAGGGCGTCGAGGCAGAGATGATCATGCCGTTGGGCGGCCAGGCTTGCTGCTGCATGCTCGTTGCCTGCTGTGTTGTCGGCATGAAAGGCATGGCGGTGCCGAACGACGCCTGAGCGTGAGCCGTCTGTCCAGCGACGTGCTCGAAGCGCTGGTGGTGGGCCATCACCTGCGCATGCGCAATCGCGAGCGCTTGAGCTACGGCCTGGCGCTCGTCGGGACTGTGGGGACCGTTGAGGAACTGCTGTGCAGCCGAGAAGGAGGCGTGGCTGCACGTAGGTGTCAGCGCCCAGAGATGTCTGGTGCGAGCAGAAGCACTCACTCGGCCGTCCAGCCTCCGCGCTGCGATGCCTGAGTGGAGCGGTAGCTTTGCTTCCACTGAAGATGCGGTGTGAGCCGACGCCTCGCTGAGGCGAGCTTCGAGCACTCACACCAGCGGCAGGGCCACGCGGCACGTTCCTGCCCATCTTCATCGGCTGAGCCTGCGTGTACGGGATGTGTCCGAGGTCAAGGCCGAGTCCGCCGTGCGACGAGGCGTCCGAGACTTTGCGCGACGTCGCGTTGCGAACGCGCGGCGTGTTGCCCTTGCTGTTGTCCTTTCGCGATGACGGCGAGGGCGACGGAGGCATGAGTGCCAGATGGTTGGGCGCCAGAGAGTCGGTGCGATCGGGAGAGCCGCGCATTTGGAGACGCTCGCGAGGCTTGAGCTGTGCCTTGCGCGTCAGCAGAGGCCGAGGCGCGTCACACGACATGCGCACCTGAACAGCATGACCACCAAGCATCCTGAGAGGACGCTTCAGCGCCTCGACGACGCTAGCCTCGGAGACGAACCTGCGGACGCAAGCGATCAGCGGCGCCGCTCTGCTCGGCGGCAGCAGACTCACTGCACGAAAGCCATCGCCCTGGGGCGGTCGGCGATCGTCGGATTCTTCAAGCTTGCGATGCGGATCTCCTCGATCTCGCCCAGCGACGCAAGCTCGTTGTGCACCAGCTCCTCGAGGTGGTCGCGCACCTCGAACGGCACCGTGCCACACCACAGGCCGCACTGCGAGGGACCGTCAGCACCGGCCCGGGCCGGTGTTTGCGCGACCGCTTGCTCACCGGGTCGATGGTCGAGGCGCTGCCCCAGCCGAACACCGACGAGCTCTTGTGGTGCAGCAACGGACTCGTAGCCTGCGTCGAGCTACCTCCCGGCGTGCGTAGCTCCAGCTCGGGCGAGCTCGGCGGCGACGGCTCGTCCTGGCGGCGGATGTGCGGGTCAAGAGGCGGCGTCGAGGGCGTCGCCGGCGACGCAGGTACGGCGAGCTGGCCGGCGACGAAGAGGCCCGGCAGACGAGAAGAGGCGGGAGGTGAGTCGGTCTCGGGCTCGTCGGCGCCGAGTAAGATGCGGGGCGTCGTTGGAGGATGCTGTGCGAAAGGGTCGTCGAGAGAGGCGTTGACGCCCTTGCTGGCGCTGATCGTTTCGGGCGACACGGCGGTGTTCTGAGGCTGAGCGGGAGGAGAAGGATTGCGCGGCTGCTGACGCTCGGCATAGGAGCGGTGGAAAACGCAGCGCAGTGGCTCCGACTCCGGAAGCTGCGCCAGAGCCTGCAAGGAGAGTGAGCTCTGGAGTGCCACCGCGGACGTGTGAACGTCGGCAATGCTCACCATTAGGAAGTGGCCGGCAGAGCCGTGATTCGCAAACTCGATGGTCCACGAGCTCGTGCCTTCGACTCCGGTCTGGCGCATCTCGAGGCGGCAAGGGGAGAAGAGGCTAGCGATGGCGTACAGCACCTGTATGCATCTCGTCAGCTTGTATCTTCGATGCAGAAGAGTAGCACGCACCTGGCCCGTGAGGGGCTGCGAGCCCTCGCCGAGCAGTGCAGCAGGCAGCGGAACGGGGCTGGAGCCGTGAGGGTCGAGCACATGGCGCAGCGCAGTGATGTCGACGGGACCGCTGCACTCGACATCGAGCATGGTCTCCTTACCAGAGAGCTCGAGACGCAGCGTCTGGCCTGAAGTGGAGACGAGGGTCAGCGGCTTTGACAGACTTGAGAGCCAGAGTGTCTTACCAAGACCACTGGCGTTGCGCGCGTTGAAGCCCTGCAGCGCCAAGCGCGGCGTCTGTGATGCGTGATCAGTCTCAGCAGTCGGCCGCTTGCAAGGTCCACTCACAGCGTACGAGGCGAATGCCACTCTGCGCCATCCCTCGCAGGGGCCCTCGTGCCACAGATCCTTGATGCGCAGCTCATACAGCGGCGCAAAGCGCGAGAGGTGTCCGTGGAGGTTCTCGTACACTGCCTCGATGGGAAGCTCGTAGCTGAGACTGCGGAAGGGGAGAAGCCGGGTGAGCGAAGCATCGGCCTTGGACGCCGGGGCTTTGACTCACCCGGGTACGAAGAGCGTAGTGATGGCGCGCATGTCGTGCGCGTGGACGAGAGGCGCCGAGGTGCCCTGCCACTTGGTGAAGCCAGACGAGACGGCGTCGTGCTGCGTGCGCTGATCGGCGCTCCACTGCTTCGATCCGCGGGGAGCACTTGCGCCGCCGCCGAGGAGCGCCCTGGAGTACGAGTCGCCGGTCGAGCGCTTCGTGACAGGCGTGCGCGGGCTGGTGGGCTTTGTGCTGTGCGCCGTCGTCGAGGCATGGTCTGGGCCGTCACTGCTGTGCTGCTCCTTGAGCCACGTGCCGACGCGCTTCTGGTCCTCCAGGCTCGGGCTGGGTGCAGCGCTGGCATCCCACGTCCGCGCAGCCAGGCCGCCCTTGGTCAGCTGCCCGACGACGTGTGCGGAGCCGTAGCTGAGCATGGGCGGTGCTGCGGTGCCCGGCGGAGGATGAGCGGGAGGGACAGTGAAGGGCGCGATGGTGTTGAGCGGGTGCAGCGCGAGGGGCGCAGTCGACGGAGCAGCAGAGGCATCGGCGGCGGCGGCGGCAGCGGCACGCTTGGCCTTGGCCTTGGACTTGCCCATGACGGCGGCGGCACGGCGGAGAGAGGCGGCGCGGAGGGCAGGGGCGGGGCGTGGGGGTCGGGAGCAGAGATGCGCATCCGCGGCCGCCCTTTTGAGCACATGGCGACTGCAGTGACACCCACCCCTGCCGGCACCCCCCGGCCGCTGCTCCGTGATGTGATGGCGGATGAGTGCCCGGCAGCATGCAGAGCGCACGGACGAGAGGAGGTGTTCCGCGCCGCCGCGCGTTGCTACCCCACGCGCGCACCCCGCGCGCTTGCCCCATCGCTGCAGGCAGAGATGCCACATCCCGCCGTCGACGATCATCGCCGACTCGATTTGTGCTATGTGCAGAGTCTAGTGCACATACTCTCGACTTTCGAGGCGGGCTCGCATATCTGTCATGGACTGCGCCAAAGCGTCGCACGCGCTTCGAGAAGGACGAGAGCAAGTCGAGGCGAGTCGGCCGCGCCCAGGCACGCGGCACGACACCGCAGCAGCCGCAAAGGGAGGCCGCATCACCGACGCCGAGAGCCGCGGAAAGCATCGCTCTGCTCATGATCGTCACCCAGGATAGACTGCTCTCGTGCCGCACTCGTCGATCATGGCTGCCAGGTGGTCTCGACCTGCAGCGCTCCCACGCCTTGCGACCTCCTGCGCCGCCGAGGCGCGCGGCACGTCGATCTGTGGGCGCGGCACAAGGTGTGGCTTGCTGTGCCTGCGTCTGCCGATCAGCGAGCCTTGACTTCGCGAAAGAAGAGTCATCATCGTGCTCGAGATTTTGAGCGCAACTGGCTGCGCTCTTGACTCGGAGAGGGTGTGCGTGCAAGCTCGACGGCGGAACGAGCCTCGACGCGCGGCACACGACACGCCTGCGGCAACGCCCCTGCGCTCTGGGCACCGCCCCGCTGCATGTTCGGCTCCCAGCAGGAGCATGCTTGGGCCGCACTTCCTCGCAGACGTCACACTACTCAAAGTGCATCGTCATCGCAGCAGGACCGGCGAGCGAACAGTCTCTCGCGCAGGGCGAAAGTGGAGCTGGGACTAGGGCGCTGAGGTGTGCGTCTCGCCGAGCACCGCTCCTCCGCCGTTTGCTCCGCCCCCTCCCTTTCACACGCTAGCGCCCGATCCTCTTGCCCATCCTCCGCCGCCGGCATGTCCTCTCGCGGGCACATGACGCCGCAGCGCAGTCCGCACGCCTCGTACAGCGCCGCCGCCGGCAGCAAGAGTGGCGCGTCGCACGTCTTTGCGGCCTGCGAGGGCGAGGTGCAGACGATCCCGGGCCCGGCGTGGCGACAAGCACCACCTGCTGCGTCGGGTTCGCCGCAGCATCACCTGCAGAAGGCGCGCGAGAAGGTGCTGGAGAGCACGCCGCCGAAGGAGGTGAGTCTGGCAGCTGGCGGCCGCAGAGGCGCGAGGCGTTCGTCGCGCTGGATGCTGCGGCAGGCGAGACCAACACCTCCAGGCCGGCAACGCGCAGACGGGCGAGGTGCCCGGCGAGCCATGCCTGCGCCGGCGGAGCATGCCCAACGGCGCTGCACGCGCGTGCCGACCGCAGCGGCGCGTGCGGGGTGCGGCATCTGACCGGACTGCACCGCTGTGTTGCTGTCTGAGCAGCAGCCGCTCTTGCGACAGAACGCTGGACGAGCAACAGCGAGGGACGACGTGGAGCGCCCGGCGTACCGAGGTCGAGCTCTGGGGTCTTGCTCGTGGAGTCAAGGCGCGGCGGTGCGGCGCGCGGCTGCCCGCTGCGCCGACGTGCAGCAGCGCGCGCCTCTGCCGTCATGCGCCTGATGGAGCGCGCGTTGCGCTCGGCCCTCTCTGTCTCCTCTCCCAGCTCCGGTCCCTGCCCCGTCGCCGCTGTGTCTGGCAGCCGACGGCCCGTGCTGTCTGCCCAACGCCGCACCGCCGCCAGCGGCTTGTCTCGCAACCACCACACCTGCCGCGCTCACGCCGCGGACCTCGCAGCTCCAGACTCTCAAGCGCCGCCCACCCATCCCCTTCGCCGCGAACGACACCGACCTGCGCTCGGGCTCTCCAACACCGCAGCGCGCCGCCTCGCCCGCCAGTCCTCAGCCCGCCAGTCCTGGCGCTACCGTCCGCGCGCCAAGGCAGCAGTCCCCTCTGCCTCCAAAGAGCAGCGACGCCAGGCCGCTCGCGGGCCGCGGCCTGCCGAGCGCCGCCGCGCACCCGGCTGCCCCACTGCTGGCCAAGCACAGCGCTCCGCCGGCGCTTTCCGGCGCTGCAGCTGCGTCTGCCGGCGGCATGTTCGGCGCTGGCGGCGGCGCCAACATGCGTGCGGCCGCAGCGCCACTGCCCTCTCCGACGTCGGCCACAGCCGTGCTGCAGCAGGCACGCCAGGCGTCGGCGTCGGGCATGTCGGACACGAGCCAGTCGGGCGGCGCGGCCCTTGCGCAGCTGGGACACTACGTGAGTCCGTGCTGTGCCACCGGGTAGCGAAGCGGCTCCCTGACCGCGGCGCCGTAGCAACTCGGAGACTGCCTGGGCAGAGGCGCGTTCGGCAGTGTCTTTCGCGGCTTGAACTGGATCACGGGCGAGACAGTGGCCGTCAAGCAGATCCGGCTGGGCAACATTCCTGCGAGTGAGCTGGGCGAGATCATGGTGAGTCGAGTGGAGACGTGGTGGTGTAGTGGAAAAGAGCGGTCGCTGATGGCTCTTGCAGTCCGAGATCGATCTGCTGCGATGCCTGAACGTGAGTGCACGGGCCTCGCCTCGGCAGGCCGTCGTGCTCATCCACTGCGCCAGCACCCGAACATCGTCAAGTACAAGGGCTCGGAGAAGACGCGCGACTATCTCTACATCATCCTCGAGTAAGCGATGCGCGTGCATCCCTCTCGTCACTTCACTCACGCATGCGCACAGGTACTGCGAGAACGGCTCGCTGCAGCACATCTGCAAGCGCTTCGGCAAGTTCCCCGAGGGCCTCGTGGGCGTGTACGTGAGCCAGATGCTAGAGGGTCTGCTGTACCTGCACGACCAAGGTGTGATCCATCGCGACATCAAGGGCGCCAACATCCTCACCACCAAGGACGGCAGCGTCAAGCTGGCCGACTTTGGCGTGGCGACGCGCACGGGCGCCATGGCCGACTACGCCGTCGTCGGCAGCCCGTACTGGATGGCGCCCGAGGTGATTGACCAGTCCGGTGCCAGTACGGCCAGCGACATCTGGAGCGTCGGCTGCGTCGTCATTGAGCTGCTCGAGGGCAAGCCGCCGTACCACCAGCTCGACCCAATGCCTGCGCTCTTCCGCATCGTGCAGGACGACTGCCCGCCGCTGCCCGAGAGCGCCAGTCCGGTGCGTGGAAAGCGAATGCCGAAGACATGCGCACAGCTCATGCAGATCCGTGCACAGGTCGTCAAGGACTTTCTGATGCTGTGCTTCCAGAAGGACGCGAACCTGCGTGTGTCGGCGCGCAAGCTGCTGCGCCACCCGTGGATGATGAACTCGCGGCGACAGCTGGAAGGCATGCACAAGGGCGGCTCGCTGCGCGGACAAGGCACGGCGACGGTGTATGACGAGGCCGTCAAGAGCGTGCAGGAGTGGAACGAGGCGCTGCGTGATCCGCCTGGCCCGCTTGCTCCTCGCGGCCCCGTCGCTGATGCTTCGACCATCAAGCCCGCATCGCTCGCGCCTCCTGGCGGCCCACTCGGCGCCGGACGCTGGCCTACCTCTGCGGACCAGACGGACGCATCGCTGGCGCCCCACCAGCGCACGCCGACGCGCCGCACCGCGCGCTCTGTCAGCCGGCCGCTGCCTGCTGGCATGACTTCCGACAACACCACCCTGCCTGCTCCTTCGCGCAGCACAGACCCGGACAGCACGCCGAAGAGCAGCGACGCGCCCTTCACGGGCCTGCTGGTCAGCCTCGGCTCGCCAAAGACAAACGTGGTGCCGGTGCTGCCGCCGCTGCACGCTGCGCCGCTGCTGGAGCAGCGCAAGGCGCTCATGCCCGAGGCAACAGACGACAACTGGGACGATGACTTTGAGGAGGGCATCTCCTCGACGAAGATCAGCTCCTTCGACAAGCCCGAAGAGCGCATGCCAAAGGCCGAGGCAAAGGCAGATGCAAAGACGAAGGCAGAGGCGCGGCGTGTTGAAGCTAAGCCTGCTGCGTCGCCTGCGCTCGATGCCGCAGACTTTGACCTGGCGGAGAGCAACGAGGACAACTTCATGACGATCAAGCCGCGGAAGCGCGACAGCTCGCCAGCGTCGCCGCCGAGGAGACCCCTCGCCGGGCCGAGCGGCCGCTCGTCCACGGCGGCCAAATCACCGCGTGCTGCGGCGGCCGTCCTGCCGAAGCTCGACGAGAGCAGTGCCTCCGCCGACGTCGAGGACTACTCAGACCTCGTCTCTGACGACGAGGAAAACCACCTCGACGAGCGCATCCGCAAGCTGCAGGCGCAGCACAGTGTCGGCCGACGGCTTTTCCACCCCAATGACCTCAAGGCATTAAGCTCTGCTGGCAGCTCGTCGTCGGGCGCTCCAGCCCTGGGCCGTCGTGGCAGTTCCGGCAGCGATCGCTCGCCCGGTGGCACGATGCGACCGGTACGACAGCTGTCGTCGCCCAGCATCGCCGCGATCCGCGACCGTCCAGACAGCCCGATGTCCTCGCTCAGCCCGCCAGGCAGCGTCAAGCTCAGCGACGAGAAGTGGAAGTCGGTGCGGCGCACGCTGAGCAAGTACAGCGAGGGCGGTGGCGAGGACTACTCGGATCTCTTCGGCAAGACTGGGACGAGCGAAGGTGAGCGTGGACGATGTGCGAGGCAAGTGCCAGACCGCTGACCTTTCCACAACAGGCTCGTCCTCCGCGACGCCAACGCTGCAGCTCACCACCCGCCTGTCGAACCGCTCGTGGCTCGGCGACGACGAGGACGATGACGATCCTTTCGCTGAGATTGACGGCGAGCTGGCGGACCAGGCCGATCTAGAGTCGAACCTCGCGCGCGACAAGCACGCGCGGAATGCTGCCGAGGTCACCAAGCTCGTTGATGCCTTGCAGGATGCGAGCATCGGCGAGGAGGAGCTCATCGAGACGTGCTACCAGCTCGTGAGTTTCGCGAGGCCTGGTCCATGCCATGCACTGACGCTGCGAGCTGCCTGCAGGAGCTGTACATGACGCAGGTGCCCGAGATGAAGGCCGTCATCCTGTCTGCGCACGGTGCTCTCGCCATCGTGCAGCTGCTTGAGCTGTCGCGCGCCGACGCCGTGACCTTTGAGCTGCTAGGCCTGCTCAACATTGTACGTGGTGCTGTCACCGCGGCGCTCGAGCCATCAGCTGACGTCCCGCCCAGCTCATCTACGATGAGAGCTCAGCACAAGAGACGCTGTGCCTTATCGGCGCCATTCCCGTTGTCATGGCGCTCACAGCCAAGAAGCACTCGCCCGACGTGCGCCTCGAGGCCGCGCACTTCATCTACTGCATGTGCGACAGCTCGAGCCTGACGCTGCAGTTCGTGCTGTCGTGTCGCGGCCTCAAGACGCTCGTCGGCCTCATCGACGAGGACTACGCGGAGGAGAAGGCACTCGTCTGCCTGGGCATTGCCTGCGTCAACAGCGTGCTGGGCCTGCAGGTGAGTGATTGCGCTGGCATATGCTTGTACGCCTTGCTGAGCCTTGCCACAGAGCCAGGCCTCGCGCAACGACTTCTGCCGCATGCTCGCGCAGGAGGGCCTGATGGAGCCGCTGTCCGAGGTGCTGGCGCAGGTCATCGAGGACGACGCGGAGCCCGACGAGGAGACACCCGACTACGTCCTTGCCGCCAAGGACCGCATCCTGCAGATCTTCATCATCTTCTCGAGCTCGACGCGCGGCTCGTGGCTCAAGGAGCGCGTGGCCACGCGCGGCGTGCTGCGGCGCATGATGCAGGCCTGCCACGATCTCGATCCAAAGTCGCTCACGCTGATGCTCAAGAGCATCAAGAGCCTCTCGATGAGCCCGCCGATCCTCGACGAGCTGCAGAACGCCAACACCATCGAGGCGCTGACGCGCGTGCTGGCGCAGCACCACGACGGCCCGTGGGGCAACGAGGTCAGCAACCAGGTCCTCAACACGATGTACAACCGTGAGTCAGCCACGGGCGAGAGTCCGGAAACAGAGCTAACGCCGCGCCGCCAGTCTGCCGTCTCAACAAGTCGCGCCAGGAGGAGGCTGCGCAGGCGGGCATCATCCCGGAGCTGCTGCGCATTGTGCGCAACAAGTCGCACCTCAAGCAGTTCGCCCTGCCGGTCAGTGGCTGTGTGCAGCCCGGCTGCTGCTGCCGTTGCTGACGCTGCTGCGTGCTTGCAGATCCTGTGCGACTTCGCGCACGCCAAGGTCACGCGCAAGCTGATGAACCAGCACGGCGGCATCGACTTCTACCTCGATCTCCTCGAGGACCCGGCGTGGCGCGCGCAGGCCCTCGACGCCGTGTACGTCTGGCTGCAGGAGGACTCGCGCGTCGAGGCTGCGCTGCTGCGTCCCGAGTCAACGGCGGCCATTCTCAGCGTCTTCACCACGACGGCGACGGCCAGCAGCTTCGAGAACCTCCTAGCGCCCTTCACGGGCATTCTGCGTCTCTCGCCGAGCGTGGCACTGGCCGTCGGCACGAGCGCCAACTTCCTCAAGCGCCTCATCAAGCGCCTCGGCCACGCCAAGGCCGTCGTGCGCCTCAACCTGCTGCGCATCACGAAGCTGGTCTGCGACGCGCACCCCGACGGCCAGAGCTTCATCGCGCAGTACAAGCTGCTCGAGGTGCGTTGCAGCGCTGCGCAGAGGCGTGCCTGCGCATGCTGACGCGCCCTTCTCGCAGATCATCGAGCGCCTCTCTCGCGACGACGGCGCCGTCCTCGTGCGCGAGCTGGCGCGCGACATTCTCGAGCAGCTGCGCGCCGCGCCCGACCAGGCGCGCTCTGTGCGTCGCACTGCAAGCGAGACGCACATCGGCTCGCCGTCGGCGGCGAGCACCGTGCGTCGAGCCGTGCGGCCGCCAGTCGACCCCACCTCGGGCCGCGCCTCGCCGGCGCGCTCCGGCGCCAGCCTCGTCCGCCGTCAGACGTCGCGCGCGCACCACGGCGCCGCCGACACCCCAAGCTAACGCTCCGCTGCCGGACGGTCGTGAGCATCCCGCCTTCCTTTTCCGCTTCTCGTCCCGTTCCCATGCGCACCCCACATCGTCTCGTCATCATCACCATCACCATCATCACCCGAGGCCACCCGCAGCAGCACGCGCTCTGCACTCATGACATGCATGCTTCCAGTCTCGACGTCTATCGCTGCGCTCAGTCGCCCGGGGTGCTGATGGAAAAGTCGTGAGGCGTGCCAGTGTCTCAGTCGCCGGAGAGCCTGGGTGAGGATGGTCAGCACATGGAGTCGTCCGTTAGCGGCCGCATTCACTCACCAGCCGTAGCGCGTAAAGCCGTTGACCACGGACGGGTCGGCGACGGCCGTGACCCAGGAGCGAGCCTCGAGCAGGAACCACATCTTGAGCATCGGGCCCATCTGCTTGAGGTCGCTGATGTGGAAGCTGCCGCCGGTGCCGTCGCCGTGCAGCGCCAGCTCCTTGCCGAGGCTGCGCAGAATGGGCAGTGCGCTCTTGAACAGCTGCGAGGTGGAACGGAGATAAGCGCTAGTCGCTAGGTCAAGCAGCGCCAGGCACTCACGTCCATGTTGCCGTCGAGCGTGCGGCCGATGCCCTCGAGCAGCAGAATCGAAATGACGGTGTTGACAAAGTCGGGCTCCATCTTGACCTGGTGCTCGCGCACGTTGTTCAGCACCTGCGCCAGCACATCGCCGATGCGGATGTTGGCGAGGGAGAAGCTCTGCTTCTTGACGCTGGCCACGAGGTTCTCCATCTTGAGCGCGAACACGTCGCCGTCCTTGACGAGGTCGGGCGAGCGGCAGCGCTCGACCATCAGGTGGCCTGCCAGCTCGCCGTCGAACTGCGCGATGGCGGAGAAGAGCTCGATGAAGTTGCGCCGGTTCACGGGCGAGAGCTCGACGGTGAGGCCGGCGTCGATGAAGACGAGCTCCGGCTGGTAGCCCAGCGCATCGAGCTTCTCAAGCTCAGCGAGCCACTGCTCCGGGTCGTGCCGCAGCGGCCGGAGCCGGTCCACCACATCCTGGTCCACCTGCTGGTCCGGCGTGGGGGCGCCCTTGGCGGCGCCGCGCGCGTAGTCCGAGTCGAAGCGCGAGAGAATGCGCGTGAAGGCATCGCGCAGCATGGAGCTCGCTGTCGGCTTGTAGAACTTGATCATGATGTTGCCGGGGTGCAGGTCGGCGTGCGTGAAGTTGTCCAAGAGCAGCATGTTCTGCAAGCACGCGGGTCAGCAGTCCGCCAGCACCAGTCTTCTCGGCGTGCACGCACCAGGAATGCATCGAGACCGAGGTTGGCGATGCGGTGGTCGAAGGCGCCGCCGCCCATGTCCAGGAAGTGCTTGAGCGGCAGCGCGTCCTCGAACTCCTCAATGAGCAGCTCGCGCGTCGAGAACTGCTTGAGTGGGCGCGGGAAGCTCAGTGCGGCACGCCGCGAACGGAAGTTGTCCTCGAAGCGCTGCAGGTTGTTGGCCTCGTTGCGCAGGTCGAGCTGCGAGTACATCATCTCGGCGAAGACCTCGACCTCCTCGGGGAAACTCAGCCACTCAGCGCCGGGCAGCAGGTTGATGAGCTTGGCGAAGAAGGACATGATCTTGATGTCGCGATTGATGGTGCGGTGCACGCGCGGGTGCAGGATCTTGATCGCGACCGAGGCTGTGGGCACGGCTGGCGGCGCTGTGTCGTCGTCGTAGCTGAGAGCCAGCTGCCGCGAGAGCTCCCCGCCAGCACGCCGGTCGCGCTTCTCGGAGAGGTACGCAGGCGGCAGCAGGTCCGGCTTGAGCTTGGCTCGGTAGACCTGAAAGCGGTGTCAGCACGGGACTTCGCGCCTTCGACGTGCAACACTCACCTGGGCCACGGCGCCGATGCCGAGCGGCTCGTGCGGGAACTCCTCAAAGATCTCGTCGAACGGCCGGTTGAAGACGCGCTCGATGACCTTCTTGGTGTACTTGAACGAGTGCGGCTTGCCGTTTGAGTGCAGCTTGCCGAGCAGCGTGCAGAGCTCCTCAGGAAACAGGTCTTGCCGCGAGCCAGCCCATTGTGCGAGCTACGCAGGCGCCAGCGTCAGCAGCGCCTCGATGCATGCTGATGCTGTGCTGCCACTCACCTTGATGAAGGTCGGACCAGCGCGCTCCATCTGCCGGACCAGGAAGCCATACCACCACAGGGCGCCCCATCTCTGCCCCTCCTCGTCTTTCCGGACCCGTCGGCCCTTGCGACCCTTGCCCTTCTCGCGGCGGCGACCCACCCACACCATCGGCAGCGTCAGAAGCACAGGCAAGAAGAGCGAGACCAGCACGAGGAAGCGCTTTCCCGTGCCGAGCGGCTCGACGATGTAGATGTGCAGAAAGTTGCCAATGCTGCTGAAGAAGCGCAGGATCGGATTCCGCGGCGGCTCGGCCTCGATGGCCTCGATCGAGGGCGCGAAGGGCTCCTTTGGGTCATCGTGCGACGTGTCGCGCTCGCCGGCGTCTGCCTGCAGCGTCTGCGAAGAGATGGCGATCAGACCGGCTGCGCCAACGGGCACCAGCAGCCATGCCCATCTCCGCCGTTCGCTGCTGCCCTGTGAAGGCGTGGCCGCCAGACTCTGCAGGGTGCGATGACGCGGGTGTGCCGGGGACGGCGGCAGAGGAGGCTCAACGCGCAGTCGTGCGCTGAGCGGGAGCGCATGCGGCGCAGAAGAGATGGCGGGCACACGCTGCGTCAGGGGCCGGTGGCACGCCGACTGGTGCACGCTGCGGATGACGCTCGAGCGAGCCAGCGGGGCGGCGCGGGCGAGCAGCGAGGAGCGCGCGAACAGCGACATGGCGGCGCGCGGAGAGGGAGAGGCGTCGGTCCCGCGAGGGATGCACGCGCAACGAGCGCGAATGGGGCGCTTGCTGGAGTGGACGGGCGAGGGAAGGCAGAGTCGTGGTCAGGATGCAGGGTGCTGACGGCGGGGCAGGGAGGGGCAAGGGTGCACAGGCGCGCAGCGCGTGCGCTCTCACGGGCCGCCCGCGTGTGACGTCAGCGAGTCGCGCGCGTGGGAACGCCGGGTGGGAAGGTCTCGACAGCGAGCTACTCATGCCTCCGCCGCAGCATCGCGAATCAGAATCAGCTCGAGCTCGGCGCAGCGTTCGCTGGGCAGCACATTCTGACAGTCACACTGCGTCCTTATGCGTTTAATTAGATGGCAAGTAGATGATGCCCGCACACTCGACAAAGCTCTTGCGCCCGCTGCGTCGGCATGTCGATGCTTCCTCCTTCGCGCTACGTACTCTGCTCGTGCAACGGCAGCGCACCTGTCCGCCGCTTGTGCTTGCGCTTCGCCTGCTCGTGCTTTGCCGTGCGCCCAGCCTTCTTCGTGCGGCCCGCGACACGCGCTGTGACTTCGCTTCCGATGCCTGCTTGCACCTCGTCGCGCAGCTTGTATGTGACGAGCGCGTCAAAGGCGAGGCGCACGGCGTCGCATCTGACCCTGCGCATGCGGCGCAGCTCGTAGCGCTCGGCCGCCGCGTGCTCGTGGAGCCGTTTGCGGTTCTGCCGCTGCAGCATGGCCGCCTCGTCTAGCTCCTGAGCGCTCAGCTCGCGCGGCGCCAGCTCCGCTCCGTCCTCGCCGCGTGCCCAGGCAGGCGGGCCGCGCAGCTGGCCGCGCCGATAGCCGGCGATGAGCGAGCCTGAGCGATGCACCTGTCGGCGCAGCAGGGCGTCGCGATGCATGCCTGCGTCCAGCGCTCGACGGACCAGCGTGTGCGCGGAGAGGAAGCGCCAGGTCTTGATGAGCGCTTCGAAGTGCAGCGAGACGGCCTGCGTGGCCGGGGGCGTGGGCGCCGCGAGGAGCTGCTCGATGCTGGCATCCTGCTCCGCCGCTTCGGCAGCATCAAGGCGCCTCTCCGGGTCCGCGCTTCGCGCATGGGCCAGCATGGCCTGCAGGCCAACGTCGACCTCGAGCCCAGCGGAGCGGACGCTGCGCAGCTGGCGCTGCACGGCATCCCACTGTCCCAGGCGTGCATAGCCTCGGATCATCGCCGAGTGCAGGCGCAGCGTCGGCGCAAGGCCAAGCTTGGCCACGGCCTCGTCGAGCACCAGCTGCGCCTCGCGCAGGCGACCCTGCTGCACAAAGCCTTCGACGAGCGGCGCAATGTGCAGCATGGTCGGCCGCACCTTGTGCTCGAGCATGGAGCGGAAGAGGCGCACCGCGGAGTCGAGGTCCTGCCAGAGTACGGCGTAGACGCGCATGCGCATGGCATACGCACTGGGCGACAGCGCGTGCGAGAAGTCCGTCTCCCGCTCGACGTGCGTGGCCGTGTCTGGCGGCGTCTGCTCGCGGAGAGAGGAGAGCACAGGAGTGTTCAGCAAAGCGGTGACTCGTGGTCGAGTCTCGTCCTGGTGAAGATGCGCCACCGGCTCGCGCGGCAAGGGCGCTTCTTGCTCTACAAGCATGCGCGCAAACTCTGCCTCTTGCACGCGAGATTCCTGCTCGTGGGTCACCTGCGCGTGATCGGCGAACAAAGCGCCGGTCGAGAGTGGCACGGCGACCGGAGCAGAGCGCTGCTGTGGCGCGGCAGAAGGAGCGACTGCCACCGGAGAGGATTGCGGCCTTGACGTGCTTGGCGAGGGGCCGGCCGGGACGCCGATTGGCACCGCGACCGGCTTGTGCGGGCGCGGTACGGGCGCGGAGGGGAAGGCAGGAGCTTCGACCGCACGTGGCGCTTCGGGAAGCTCCGGCAATCCGTCGTCGAGATCCTCGTCGACGTCGAAAGACTCTGGCAGAGGCGCGCTTTCGCGAGCTGCTGCCCTGGACCTCATGCGCGCTCGGTGCGATCTGTCGCCTGCGATGCGGAGGCGGTCCTGGAAGCCGATGTGGTCCAGCTCGGTCAGCAGGGCGCCGAAGCGCTCCAGCTCTCGCGCGCGGGCCTTGATGGCGTGCCGTCGGTCCGGCGTGGTGGCCTTGGCAGCTGCTTGCGACAGCTCGTCGACGCGGATCAGTAGCTCGCTGGGTTCCACGGGCGCAAAGAAGCGGCGCAGCAGGCGGCCGTTCTTGTCGATGGTGGACACCAGCAGGTAGCCAATCGCGCGGCGGATGCGATAGTCGGGCCTGTGGCCGGCACGGAAGAGCTCCTTGAGCAGCGCACGCGCAGCGTAGACTCGGCTCTCCAACGGCAGCGCAGCGGCGGCGCGCAAGAGAACAGGATACATCTCGATGGTGGCATCGAGCGCTGCGGCGGGCACGCCGCCGGCCTGGGACTTTGACGAGGCGAAGGGCCGCAGCTCAGCTTTGGCGCTCGGCGAGAAGCGCAGTGTAGCGAGTGCGAATGCGAGCGCGTCTTGCGGCTGACCGGCAGCAATTAGGCTGTGCGCAGCTCTCTGCACGGCCATCCGCACAGCCAACGTCGCTGGACTGCGCGGCTCGACGGGCTCTGTGTAGTGCTGCAGGGCGAGGCGGGCGAAGCGAACTGCATGGCTCGGCATCGCAAGACTGCTGAAGTAGATGGCGAGCGGCGCATATGTCTCCGCAGTCGGCGAAGGCGCGTTCGGGCGTGCGGCCGGACGCATGCCGCCAGTGGGCGCACCGAAGAGTCGCAGCGCACGCAGGATGCCTCGCACGTCTGCCTCCGACGCCAGCTGGCGCACGAGACCGTCGAGCAGTTGCCGACTGGACAGGTTTGCGAGGTCGCTGGCAGCGTGCGCTTGGCCAGGCGGTGCAGTGCGCGCCATCGCTGCCAAGGCGGCACGTAGGCGGGGCTGAGTGCCTGCCAGCAGCAGCCACTCGCGGCTGCTGATGGCGTGCCCTTTCGCGTGCAAGACGGCGGCTGCCTTGAGCGCACCGCGAAGGTCTTCGCTCGCAGCACACAGATGCAGCAGCCATCCGCAGAGCCGAGATGTAGGCACAAGAGCCTCGTCGACCGTGCGCCGCTGTCGCGTCACGCGCTGCAGCCAGTAGCTCTTGAGGTGCCGACGCCCCTCCGTTCCGAGTGCCGACTGTGCTCTCGTCTTCCACAGCAGCAGCCAGTCATCGAGCCTGCCTTTGTGCAAGCTCCCGATAGCGTTGACTGTGGAGAGCACCGCTTTCATGTCGCCGACACTCGCCGCTCGCGAGACCAGAGAGTGGACGTGCCGGGCAGCGGGCGCGAATCCAGGGCGCGCAGCAAACTTCTCGAGGCGTTCAAGTGTCGCAGCGACAGTCCCAGGCGCACCGTCGGCACTGCTCGAAGGGCCCAGCACGTACCCGGCTCGAAGGATCGCTCCTAGACACCGCGACGCGGCGCGGTGATCGTCTAGCGGCAGCGGTGGCGGCGATTCCGCGGTGTCCCAGGACGCTTCGCCTCGCAGCAGACGCCCGAGCTCCCACCAGCACGCTGCCAACTCCGCATGTGCAGCGTCTAGCACCTGTGCTTTCTGCGCGGGCGACAGCGGACTCTGCGGAGCTCGAGCCTGCGCTTCGTCGAGGCGCTTCTCTACCGACTGGGCAGCTTCGAAGATCGCTTGTAACTCGGCGCCGGCTCTACTGTTCGCGAGCGACTCAGCGTCTTCCGCATCCCATCGCTTGCTCAGCTCAGCATCTCTCGGCGGCCCGCCCTCGCTGAGCAAGAGCCATAGCCTCGCGTCGAGCCAAGGGCTGCCTTGCAGGTCGAGTGGAGGAGCCGGCCGAGCAAGCCGGCGGGAGCGCGCAGCCTGCAGTTGCGGCGAGGCGGGCGAGAGGGCGTTGAAGCTGGGAGCATCGGGACGCAGAGTGTTGCGTTGCGCTTGAAGACTGCGCTCGAATGTGTCGAGCTCGTTGTCCGACGTCCGTGGCGAGCTGGACGATGCGACTGCCTGCGAAGGAACCAGGGAGGAGAGAAAGCGGCGACGGGCGCCCGACGGCTTGCGCAGCGACGGCGCCGGCGCCGAGAGAGCAGGGCAGAGAAAGAGAGGTGGAAGAGAGGGAAGGTCGGACGCAGAGCGACGGAGCGTTTGCGTGCTCTGCACGGTTCTTCGTCGCCCGCCGCTGCTGCTGCTGCTGGCAGCTGCGGCAGCCCGTGGCACGGCTCTGCTCGCCGCAAGCGACAAGGAGACGACGGCGGCGGCAGCAGCAGCGGAGCCTGCTGCCGCACCGGCCATCGGGGCCGGCCCTGCTGGCAGCGGCTGCCGCCTGGACGCAGCGGGCCGGGAGCGGCGGAGGAGGTGCAGCTATTGTCGGGCGGAAGGTGCCATGTGCGCGCAGGACGAGGACGGGCAGGAGTGGCGGGCGCGGCGCTGCGAGGGGTCGAGGTGCCGCACTGCCTGCAGCCGCAGCAATGGAGCAAAGACGAGCGGGTGACGAGGTGAGGAGGAGGGACAGAGCAAGAAGTGAGCCGTGCGGCGCGCACAGGAAGAACGCGAGGCCGCGGCTCGGCGAGAAGCGCAGCTGAGCAAGCCAAAGGCGGCGCTGCGTCACGTGCGCGGGCGCTGCACCCTGCCCTTAGCGCAGCCGCGGGTTGGCTCTGGCTTGGTCGCCCTCGCCGGCCAGCAGCCCTCGCTCTGCCGATCCTCTAGGCGCTCATCTGTGCCTGTCTGCGCCCGGCAAATCAGAGGGGTGACCGTGGGCTGAGCAGCATTTGTCTCGCGTGAGAGCCGCTGCTGACTTCCACGGGCAGAAGGGCACGCCGCGAGCCGAAGTCGCTGCTCCTGTCGCTGTCGGCTGTCGCTGGCGTCTCGCGCGGCCCGAGATCTGCCCCACGCCGCGCCGCGCCGCGCCGCGTGGAGCTGGCGCGCGCCGCCGGAGCCGTCGATGCGCGACTGGACGGACGAGCCACGCTGCACATCTTCCTCTCCACTCCCCACTCCGGCCGACGCCTGCTCCAGCCGTGCAGCGCCTCTTCTCCAGCCAGGCGCCGCGTCTGGCTTGCACGGCCCTGGCGCTCGCCCTCCCACCGCCCGCGCACGCCGCGCCTGTCCGCGTGCCGCGAGCCTGAGGCGCCGCACGTCTGCACCACCTCCTGAGCCGACCGCTGGCCCGCGTCTCGCCTGCCGAGCACGCCATGTCCGGCGGCGCGCCCCTCTTCCGGCCCGCGGCGGTGCGCCCCTCGACGTCGATCTCAGGCATCTCGGGCATCAGCGCGTCCGTCTCGGCCGCGTCGCTGGCGCCCTCCACACACCACCTCGCCTTCCCCTCGACCGACTCGGACCTGGCGGCAGCGCTGCGCCGCGTCGACATGCTCTCGAGCGAGGGCATCGACGAGGCAGACACGCAGACGGGCGACGAGAGCTTGGACACGGAGGAGGAGGATGACGACGACGACATCTTCAGCACCACCAGCGGCCGGCGGCACGGCGCGGTGCTGCAGCCCGAGATGGACGACTGGCTGATCCTCGAGGTGAGTGCGCCGGCTCGAGAGCCGCTGCCTTGGCTGGCGGAGTGCTGCTGTCGGGCAATGTGCTTGCCACCATGGCACGATGCTGGCAGCGCAGTTGGAGCGCCTGCGGTCGCTGACGTCCGCGCCGCAGACCCCATACATGACGCATTGGAACCATAAGCGGCATGGGACCGGCGGCAATCCGCGGCAGCGCAACCCGGCAGATGCGCCCGACTGGCGCATGCGCGAGCGCCTGCGCACCGTCACGGCGGCGCTGGTGATGTGCCTGAATATCGGCGTCGACCCGCCAGACGTGTCGAAGACGAACCCGTGCTCGAAGCTGCTCTGCTGGATGGACCCGTCGTCGCTGGAGGTGTCCAAGGCGCTGCCGGCGATCGGCAAGAACCTGCAGGCGCAATTCGAGACGCTGAGCATGAAGACGCGCTACAAGCAGTACCTCGACCCGATCGTCGAGGAGACGAAGCGCTTCTGCACCAGCCTGCGGCGCACGGCCAAGGACGAGCGTGTGCTCTTCTACTACAACGGCTTTGGCGTGCCCAAGCCGACGCCCGGCGGCGAGATTTGGGTGTTCAACAAGGCGTACACGCAGTACATTCCCGTCACGCTCTTCGACCTGCAGAACTGGCTCGGCAGCCCGTGCATCTTCGTCTGGGACGCCAGCTCGGCCGGCAATGTCGTGGTGAACTTCAAGCGCCTCGCCGAGCGGCGCGCCGAGGAGGAGCGCGCCAATGGCGGCGGCTCGTCGCAGCCGCAGCCGCAGCCGGGCGCATCTGCGCAGCACTTTCCGCTGCGCGAGAGCATCCATCTCGCGGCGTGTGCGCCGGACGAGGTGCTGCCGATGAACCCCGACCTGCCGGCGGACCTCTTCACGTGCTGCCTGACCTCGCCGATCGAGATCAGCCTGCGCTGGTTCGTGCTGCAGAACCCGCTGCCCTCGCGCCTCAACGTCGACATGGTGATGAACATCCCCGGGCGGCTGCAGGACCGCCGCACGCCACTCGGCGAGCTGAACTGGATCTTCACGGCCATCACCGACACGATTGCGTGGACGGTGCTGCCGCGCGCCATCTTCCGGCGCCTGTTCCGCGACGACCTCATGGTCGCGGCGCTGCTGCGCAACTTCCTGCTGGCCGAGCGCATCATGCGCTTCTACCACTGCACGCCGATGAGCCACCCGAAGCTGCCGCCGACGCACAACCACCCGCTGTGGGACAGCTGGGACCTGGCCGTCGACCAGTGTTTGGCGCAACTGCCGACGCTGCTGGAGAAGGAGAAGGCGCAGGCCGACGCGGCGAACGGCGGCCCGCCCGTGCCGCCGCACCTCGCCGCCTTTGAGTACCGGCACTCGTCGTTCTTCAGCGAGCAGCTGAAGGCATTTGAGGTGTGGCTGTCGCAAGGCGGCGTCAGCCGCAAGGGACGGCGGAGGCGCGTCGACGCCACGTCGCTCGCGATTCGGCACGGCGTCACGGGCATCCCACACGCCGGGTCCAGTGCATCATCTGCTGCGGGCACGGTGGATGAGGAGGATGAGGCGACAGCGCGGCCACAGCGGGATCCGCCAGATCAGCTGCCGATCGTCCTGCAGGTGCTGCTTTCGCAGGTGCACCGGCTGCGGGCCTTGATCCTCCTCTCACAGTTCCTCGACCTCGGGCCATGGGCCGTCAATCTGGCGCTCAGCATCGGCATTTTTCCCTACGTGCTCAAGCTGCTGCAGTCGCCCGCGGCCGACCTCAAGCCGGTGCTGATCTACATCTGGGCGCGGATACTGGCCGTCGACCGCAGCTGCCAGAACGACCTGCTGCGCGACTCGGGCTTCGTCTACTTTGCCGGCGTACTTAGCCCCTTCTCGCCTTCGACTTCTGCCAACGCGGCTGCGGCAGGCGTTGCGGGCAACGGCAACGCGCTGCCCATCCCCAACGTGTCGGAGCACCGCGCCATGTGTGCCTTCATCCTCGCCATCTTCTGCCAGGACTTTCCGGCAGGGCAGGCAGCCGCGCTGGAGACGGACGCGATGGACTCGTGCCTCGAGCACCTGGAGGACGAAGACTTCCTGCTGCGGCAGTGGAGCGCGCTGTGCCTGGCGCAGCTCTGGGACGAGAGCGCGGCCGGCAAGGCGCGCGGCCTGTCGAAGGATGCGCAGGGCAAGCTGTGCATGATGCTCGCCGACGCCTCGCCCGAGGTGCGCGCGGCAGTGCTGTATGCCCTCGGCACCCTGCTGGGCGCCAGCGGCTCGAGCTTCGACCCGCTCGACCCGCTGACGACCTCGCCGGCGGCCAAGCACACTGGCGGGCAGCGGGCGCGATGCCTCGGCACGGGCACTGCCACCGGCCTGTCGCCGGCGGATCAGCGGTCGCTCGAGGTCAACATCGCCGTCACCATGCTGGTGACGCGCGGCGATTGCAGCCCGATGGTCCGCAAGGAGCTCGTCGTGGCTCTCAGCCCGCTCATTCGCGAGTACCAGGGCTTCTTCGTGGTGGCAGCCTACCTGTACTACGAGCGCGAGGACCGGCGGCATTCCCGGAGGGCACGCACGCGGTCGACCGGCTCGCGAACGACGCAGAGCTACGACGCGCAAGAAGAGCAGGACGAGGACGATGCGGTCATCCGGCGCATCATCGAGCGCCTGCCCGCCGAGTACAAGCTGGAGGAGGCCGACGAGGCGAACATCGCCGCCTGCTCGACCATCTTCACGGCGCTGCTCGATCTCAGCGCAGACGCGTACCCGGAGGTCGCCAGCCTGACGTGCACGATCCTCGACTACATCGTGGCGCTCATGCGGGAGAGCGGCGTGGGCCGCATCGCCGAGAACACGACGCTGCGCTTCGGCGCCGGCGCCGGCGACGCCACGCATCGTCTCGTCACGCCCAAGGCGACGAACCTCGGCGCCGAGGGCTACTTCTCGTACACGCCGCGCCGGGCGTCGCAGGACATTGCAGGCCATGCGTTCACGTTTGGCGCCTCGTCGACGGCTGCCACCACGCTGAACAGCAACGGCTACAGCAGTCTGCGCAGCCCTGGTCGGCCAGCGGCCCGGAGGGCCCCCAGTCTGGCGCAGACAGTCAAGGCGATCGCCACGCTGGGCTACTCGCGGCCGTCTTCGCCCGTGGGCTCGCCAGACGAAGACAGTGGAATTCGCAGCCCCGGCAGCGCCGCCGGCTCGGCGCAGCACTCCGGCAGCGCCACGCCTGCGCTTGCCGCGCGCGTGCCTGCGCCCTCGTTCAACCTGGCGCAGTACGTCTCGCCGTACGCTCACGCGCGCCGCTCGACGACGCCGACGACGCCAGAGACACCGCGCAGCCCCAGCGCGACGCTGCCGACCTCGAGCTCGACCGCAGCGCTCGTCGCAGCAGCGCACCGCTCGTCCAGCGCCGAGAGTCTTGCCGCGATCGCGCGCATGCAGGCGCGCCGCGGCAACACGAGCGGCAGCACCACGCCTGGTGGCACGATCAGTTCGCCGCTGGCAGAGCGCCATCCCACGCCGAGCAGCGCAGCCCTCGCGCCGCCACAGATGACCGGCGCGCCTGAGAAGGACGACGCCAAGGCTGTTGCGGCGCTGGCGAACCTCGTCGCTGCTGATCTGCAGCGCTTCAAAGACCGGGCCGCATTGGGCGCCGAGCTTGCCGCTGCTGGCGTGCCTCCGGGGGCCGCCGGACTAGCGGCCTCATCTGCCGGCAACACGCCGATGGCAAGCCCGTCGATGACCCGCACGTCGACGCGCGACGGCAACCACTCTTCTGTTTCGAGCGCAGCGAGCAGCCCAGGCGGCAACGTCGGTCTGCGCGAGGTCCTGCCGCTGAAGAGCCGCCTCTTCTCGTGGTGCGCCGAGTACTACACGGAGCCGCAGATGAAGTCGGCCGAGGCCGAGGAGCCGGGCAGCGTCAAGTACAACGTGCAGACGTGGAAGCGGCAGCGCAACGAGCGCCTCGTGAGCGAGTCGCAGGCGCACACCGACCATGCGGGCTCGACGCCGTGGACGGACAACATCGGCACGATCAAGAATGGCGCTCCGCCGTACCTGATGCTCATGCACCAATTCGAGTCGCACCTCGTCACCGCGAGCGAGCAGGACACGATCAGCGTGTGGGACTGGGAGCGGCAGCGGCTGCTCTCGCGCTTCCGCAACGGCAACCCCGAGAAGACGAACGTGACTTCCGCCGCTTTCGTCAATGAGGACGTCGACGCGCTGCTGCTCATCGGCTCGGCTGAGGGTGACGTGCGCCTGTACAGCAACTACGACGAGAGCCCTACGCACGTGGCTGGCTCTGGCCCCAAGCTCGTCAGCACGTTCCGTGCGCTGCCAGACCTGGCACGCACGAAGCGTCCGGCCGGCCTGATCGTCGACTGGCAGCAGGTCACCGGGCACCTGCTGGCTGCGGGCGACAGCGGCGTGGTGCGCGTGTGGGATGCGCACCGCGAGCTGTGCGTGTGCGACATTCCGACGCATCAGGGGAGCAGCGTCACCAGCCTGACGTCCGAGTACGACGTGGGCCACATCTTTGTCGCCGGCTTCTCGGACGGCACCGTGGGCGTGTACGACCGCCGCAATCCGCCCGAGGCGAGCCTGGTGCGCCTGTGGACGGAGCACTCGACGTGGGTGCAGAACGTGCACCTGCAGCGGCGCGGCAATCGCGAGCTGCTCTCGGCCAGGTGAGCAACGATCGCATATGTCCGAAGGCCTCGCCACTGATGCCCTTCTTCTCGCAGCGTCGACGGCGAGGTGCGGCTATGGGACATCCGCGGGCGCTCGTCGATCTCGCGCGCCAACATCTCGGGCGCGCTCGGCGGCAAGCTGTCGTGCGTCGCCGTGCACGAGCGGGCCCAGGTGTTTGCTGCGTAAGTGGGGTCTGCTTGATGCCTCTCTCGTCTGCTGACCCTCGCCCCCAGTGCCTCGCATCCGCGCTCGACGCGCTCCGGCATCGCACCGCACCAGATCATCCTGTCGCACCTCGACTCGCTGGCGCCCAACATGCGCTCCTCGCCGCTGGTGCGCAACTTTGGCGCGGGCACCTCGTCGCTCCCGGGGGTCGGCGGGCCGTCGATCTCGTCGGGCATCGCACGTGCACCCTCTGCCTTCACGCCGGCGTTCGGTGCGCTGACGTTCCACCCGCACAACCACGTGCTGGCGTACGCCAGCCCCGACGCCGCCGGCACGATTGGCGTCGTGCGCTGCCCGCCGCCCAAGCCGGACTTGGCGCCGCAGCAGGACGACGACGAGCGCAAGATACCCGAGTACATCGACGTGTCCGGCGCGCTGCCGAGCAACGGGCCACCCGAGGGCCGCCCGCGCAGTCTGTTTGGCTTCTGAGCGGCCTCCCCATCCCTGCATCCCCTCTCCGGCTCCCCTCCTCGCACATCATCGCCGTGTCTGCATCTGCCGCCGCCCGCTCTCATGCTTCCGCGCTGCATTTGCCGTGGACTGCCAGGCCGTCCGTCCTAATCACACACGCCGACGTGTCCCCCTTCACCTGCATTTGCCTCACATATCATCGTCCGAAATGCCATTGCTTTGCCCAAGCGTGCAGAGAGAGGGGCGCGTCGACGCCGAGGGGCACGCGCGTGATGCTCTGCAACACAGCCTCGCGCTCGCACTCGTCCGCATGTCCTCCGCGCTGCTCCAAGCCCAGCGATACGTTGCTTGTGCTCCGGGCGCAGCATGGCTGTTTGCCGGAGATCCGCAGCCAGCTGCAGGGTGCAGATGCACTCTTCGACGGCGCCGGCGCCGGCTGCGGCCGCTTCCTTTTCCATTTGCTGCCCTTTGCTCGGTTGCGGGCGGATCAGTGCGGCACCGCCACGCCTCCTGCTGCGGTGCCTGCATGGCCTCGTGGGCTTGTGGCTGTGAGGCGGCGAGGGCGCCAGGCTTGATGACGCGGGGCAACGCTGCTCAGGAGCGGTGCAGGCGGAGCCGGCGACAGCTCCTGTGCCGGGCGAGCGTGCGCCGAGAGGAGGCGGGCCGCGGCAGGACAAGCGGCACGCCTGCAGCCAAGGCGCCGAGCGGTGCCGCCGCCACGCCGCCGCGACCGCTCACGCCCCGCGCCAACATCCAGCGGCCGGCTGCCCTCTCCCCTGGCCTGCTTCCCGCTCACCATCTCCTCGTCCACATCCCGCCTCCTCGACTCGCTGCTGCAGGCTCGCCGCTCCCATCTTTTCTCGCTGCGCCTATTGCGCGCCACCTGCGCGTCTGCGCCGTCCCGCGCACCCCGCATTCGCACGCGCCCTCTGCGCGTCCCGAGTCCTGCGCCGCGCATTTGCGGGGTCAGCTCGGCATCCTAGGCTCTCTGCTGTCTCTCGCTCTCTGTCGCGATGCGCGCTGCGACTCCCGGCACGGTGCTGGTGCTGGCGGCGTCTGTCTGCCTGCTGCTAGCCACCATCTCGACGCCCATCATCAAGAACTTCAGCTTCCTGCAAGCCAGCGCCGCTAACTCGAACCGCGTCGTGCGCCTGGGCTGCCTGGGCTACTGCGCCGGCGGCACCTGCTCGCCGGTGACGCTCGGCTATGACCTGGGTGAGTGAAGTGCGCAGAGGGCCAGCTCTCCGGCTGCTGACGCCTGGCGCTCCAGACGGCGCCTCGACGCTGCTCGGCGTGCCGAACCTCGTGCCGGCCAACTGGTCCAACACGATCATCAAGGGCCTGACGTACACGCTGGTGCTGCACCCCGTGGCGCTCGGCGCAGCCGTCGCTGTGCTCATCATGGGCCTGATCAGCCACTGCACAAACGGCCGCGCCTGCTGCACGGGCGTCATGGCCGGCCTGGCCAGCTCGCTGGCGATTCTGGCATTCGGCCTGGACTGCGCGCTCTTCATCATCGCAAAGAAGCGCATCGAGAGCGAGGGCGGCACTGCGACGCTCGGAGCAGCGCGTGAGTACATCCACAGCGGCCTGCGTATGACAGGGCTAATTCTGCGCATCTGCAGTGTGGCTCACGCTCGCAGCGGCCGTGCTGCTCTTCGTCTCGACGTGCGCCTTCTCCTGCGGCTCGTGCTGCGGCGGCGGCGGTGGCCGTCGCGAGAAGAAGCTCAAGGACAGCTACGGCCAGCCTGCGGGCAACGGCGGCTTCGTCGGCGATCAGTATGGCGAGCGCATGCGCATGGATGCTATCGAGGCCGAGCGACGCCGCAAGAACGGCGGCGAGGCCGACCTGCCCAAATTTGCCGTCTACGAGACGGAGCACGTCGAGCGCCTGCCGGGAAATGAGGAGCAGACACCGCTGCGCCACGACTACTACGACCACAGCCAGCAGAACTACGCGCCGTACGGCCAGGAGGCGCACCACGACCCGTACGCTGTGCACCCCCAGCAGGGCCAGTACGACAACTCTCCGGTGACGAGCTATGCCGCTGGCGTGGGGCCCGGACATCGCCGAGGGCCCAGTCAGCCATCGTCGGGCATGGCGGGCTACGGTGCGCATGCTCCGGGCCGCGCAGCCTCAACCGTGTCGCACGATGCTGTGTACACGCCGGGCGTCGGCCCGCAGCCCTACCGCGACGGCACGGGCAGCGGCTTCGGCACACCGGCCACCATGGCTGCTGTCGGCGCTGGCGCTGGCGCAGCTGCCGGCTACGCTGCGTACGACTCGCCGCGGCGGCAGCCGACGGCCGACAGCGGCTACCACCAGCAGCAGTCCTCGGCCTACGGGCACCCGACAGAGGGCACGTTTGGCATGCCCGTCCCGCAGCGCTCGGGCAGCACGGTCAGCTACGCCAACCAGGGCGGCTCGGCGTACGGCCATGGCGTACAGGGCGGCAGCGCGTACGGCCATGGTGCGGACCCGAGCAGCGCGTACGGACACGCCATGAGCCCCAGCCAGACGATGGACGCGTACGGCGCCGCAGGCGGCGCGCAGCGGGCTCCGTCTCAGGTTGCGCCTGGCGGCGGCTCGCGCCGACTGCCTACTGTGCCGATCGGCGACGCAGAGTCACGGCGTCAGCCAACGGCAGACGACGGCTTTGGTCTGGCAGTGCTGCAGGCCGGCGCCGCGGCACGCTCGCGCGACGAGGAGCAGCTGCGCTCGCCAACGTCGCCGCACGAGGATGCGCACAACGCGGCCGTCAACTCGGCGTTTGCGCGGCATCTCTCGCAGCACAACCAGCAGACGTCGCAGCACCAGCAGCAGCAGCAGTACGGCCACCACGCGCAGCAGAGCTCTGCCTACCACGACGCCGAGCAGGATGGCTATGCGTACGGCGGCGAGGAGCAGGCGTACTATGCGGAGAGCAGCGGCGGGTACGGCGAGGGCAGCTCATCAGCAGCGGCGCCGCCGGGGTATGACTGGCACGACCAGCAGGGACACGGCAGCTCGGGATATCCACAGGAGAAGCGCTAGCTTGCAATCAGACGCGTTCGCTCCACATATTGGTGATCAGAGGAGGTCGTCGAGCAGCAGCAGCTGATGCTCGCAGAGACACATAAGTGTGCGCCGCTCGCCGCACGCCACGGCAGCGACGCCGACGAGGGCGCCGCTGCCGCCGGTCGCGCTGTCGCTGCCCAGCCGCACGACTTTGCTCTGCGCGTGCGGCGCGCTCGGTGTAGCGGGAGTGGCGTAGACGAAGAGGTTGCCGGCGCCGGGTGGTGGACCGCCACTGCCGACGTTCGGCGCGCCCTCAAAGGCCAGGACGTGGCCGACATCGCGCCTCGGCGAAAGCGCGAGGAAGACGCGGTGGGCGTCACGCTTGGAAGCCAGCACGAACGCCAGAGCTGGGAACGCGAGCGATGGCTTCCATGCGCTGGAGCTGCCGGCGGGCGGGTCGAAGACGTTGCCATCCAGCTCGGCTCTGACGACGAGCGCCTCGCTTGGTAGCGCAGAAGGCAGCGCTACAGCGAGCACGCGGTCGTCGGCGTTGGAGATCTGCTCCTTGAGCGTGACCTTGCCGTCCTGCTCGATGACGGCAGTCAATCGCGCAGGTCGGCCGACGTCGGCGTCTTCGTCCTCGAGGCCGTCTTGCAGCAGGCTGGTCCGCTCAGTGCCGAGCGGCGCCGACGCCGGCACGCCGCCCCAGGTAGCACTGAGCGCATCGGCCTCCTTTGACGGCTCCGTGTACTTCTCGAGGCCCTCGAGCTGTGCCAGCAGCTGCGTAGGATCCATCGTCTCGGGCACTTCCTCGTCCTCGTCCTCTTCGGCATCCATGCGCTCCGCGTCTGGCGGGCCATCGGCAATGCTGACGGGCGCCGGCTTGACGCCGAAGATCTGCGGCCAGCGTGTGCCAGCATGTGCCTTTTCGAGGTGGATCGAGAGCAGACCCGTCTCGCCGCTGCTCGAGGCGACGCGCTCAAAGGTCCACACGCTGCCGTTGACGTCGATGTCGCCCCACAGCCGCCGGTTCATGTACTTGCCGCCCTGCAATGCGTTCACTGTTGACTGCGCATGCGAGAGCTCCTCGCTTGGTCCAGGGTCCTGGCCGTCTGGCAGCTCCTGGATGCGTGCCTCGCCTGGCAGAGCTGATGGGCTCAGCGTCGCGGACAGTCCTCGCCGCGAGAAGTGCACACGCACGGCCTTGAGCGCGAGCTCTGACGGCAGCGTGAATGCCATTGTGAGCGTGTCTGAGGTCTGTGCCCAGACATACGGCGGCGGGCGGCGTCTGCTGGGTGCCTCGAACTCGCGTGGCCGCTCTGCGGGCGCGGCCGGCAGTGCGCTGGCGCTGGAACCGGCTGTCGGCGTGGCTTCAGACGGCTGCGGCAGTGTGACGCCCGACTCGGCGAGGAGCAGATGCCGCTGGCCGCGAGGATCTAGATGCACCCAGTATGGCGGCTCTTCTGCCTGCACGGTCCATGCCGGTACGACTTCGACGTTGTACTTTGGCGTGTTGCCGTCCATGGGCAGACGCAGCAGCAGCACATCGAAGACGGTACGTGCTCGCAGTGCACCGCTCGCAGGCACGCGCCTCGCTCTTCGCGCCAGGACTTGGATGTGGCTTGAGCCGTCTAGCGGCGCTTGGGCCACGATGGCCAGAGGGCCCGTCGACTCTTCGTCTGAGGACGCAGGAAGAGAGACGCGCCAGGAGCGCGTGGGGATGCCTGCGGTCGGCAGGTGCAGCAGCGAGATGGACGTGCTGCCGCTGCATGCAAGCCAAGATGCTGAGCCTGTGCTGAGCAATGTCGTATGCCCTTGCTCCCGGCGAGCTGGTGGCGCAAGTCTGCCTAGGAGCATCGGCTCTGCTCCGCTCGTCTGTGCCGCAGCGTCAGCCTCGAGCCGACCACTTGGACAGCACGCTGCTCACCTGACCCGCCTGCACGGCCCATACACTTCCCTGCTGCGCTCCCGCATATGCAGCCCACCCCGCATCGTTGCCGAGCGCCGGCACGAGCCTGGCATCGCCGCTGCGGGCGCGTGCCTCGCGGTAGCCGAAGTGGGCGGCATCGGACGCGAGCGCAGCTGGCCGAAAAGCGGCGGCGAGCGGGCGTGCGGCCTGCGGCTGCGGTGTCGAGGCCAGCTGATAGGAGACGAAGTCTTCCGACGATGATGCTGGCGCCGGAAAGACGGCGCTGTGGGCTGCCATGGTGGTGGTGTGCGGAGAGGAGCGTGCGAAGGCTGCGAAGCGCCGTCGAGTCGAGTGGAGGCGGCTGGGGTCGCGTTCTCTCGCCGCGGGTTCGCGTCGATCTCACGCGCTTCACGGCGCGTCGAGCTTCACTCCCGACCACACCCTCTACCAATCTCAGCCCTCGCCTCTCCTCGCATTCTCGCGGCGTCTGCAGAGCCGCGTCCTGCATCGCATCGCAGCCATGGCGCAGCGCTACGGAGGCCGCTTCGTGCCGAACCCAGAGCTGGAGGCCAAGAGGCTGCCCAAGCAGCCCGTCGCGTGAGTGCCAGGCATGTTGCGTGGCAGCAGCGAGGCGCAGGCAGGGCGGTCACGTCTGGCGAAGCAGCAGCGGTGCCGTGCGAAGAGGCAGCGGTGCTCCAGTGCTGTTCTCTGCTGCCAGCAGTGACTCGGGCCTGGCTGTGGCCTCGCGCTCCTGCCTCTATGCGTCGAGTGCCTGCTCACTCCGCACCGCAGCATCTGGCGCCGGCAACTCGCGCCGCCAAGCTACGCCGCCGACTCGCCGCACCGCGTGCTGAAGTGGAGCAACACTGGCGAATACGTGACTTTCCCCGAGGAGGCAGACGAGCCGCGCGGCGCCGACGCCGAGCGCGAGGTGGCTGCCGTCGAGGCACAGGCGCGCGAGGCCGAGGCGCAGCGGGAAGCAGCGGGCGGCGACGAGACGCAGGCCATGGACGTGGACACGCCGGCAGCAGGCGAGGGCGCCTCGAGCATCGTGACGCCGGCCACGGTCGCCGAGGAGACGCGTGCCGGCGCGACCCAGGAGCAGGCCAGCGGTGCGGCGCCGAGCGCCATCCCGCAGCATGTGCGCGAGGAGATGGCGCTCGTGTCGGCAGCCGGCGGCGTGGGCGCCGAGCTGAACGCCGGCCCACTGCCGGACGACTCACAAGGCGCCTCGGCTGCCTCGACGCCCGGCCCGACACTCAACGTCGCTGCCGAGCTGCAGCCGCCGCCGTCGGGCGCCGCTGAGCCACAGACAGAGGGCGAGGTGAACGCCGCGGCGGTGCAGGCTGCTGCCGAGGGCACAAACGAGGGCGGCGGCGTGGCCGACGAGGTGGGCCGCAGCACTCGCGAGCCAAGCGTGCCCGGCCTCGACGCCGTCGTGGAGCTGAGCACGGACAGCGCGGAGGCACCCAAGCCCGCGTCCTAGCGTGACGTGCGGCGGAGCGTGGACCCCGTCTCTCTGCTGTAATTGTATCTGTCACTCCTGCCGCTGTCCTGTGCTTTACTTAGTTGCGTGACAAAGATGAAGTACTATGTACATGTGCCGCGGCGCACGCCGCTCTACAGCTTGCTCTGGCCCGCAGCGAGGCGGTCGTGCAGCTCGCGCAGCTCGTTGATGCTCTCGTTGATGTAGTGGCGCAGGCGGCTGGCGTCGAGCTTGAGCGACGTGAGCGTGAACGTGAGCGAGTTCTCCTTGATCTGTGGCGAACGTGTGAGCTTCCGCAAAGGTGGGCGTGCTCTGCTCTGCACTCACGGCGTACGCGCAGCCGAAGCCGTCCGGCACGACCTCGCCGTAGCCCCACGCGGCGAAGCTCTCGCTCGAGATCTGGCTCGTGGAGAGCTTCCAGTGGCTCGACTTGGCAAACGCCTCGTCCTGGTACAGCGCCGGCAGCTGCTCGCCGTCCTTGAGCAGCTTCTTGAGGCCGAACAGGTGGCGGTCAACGCCCTGCGCGTCGGCAGCGTCCTTGGCGTAGGCCAGGTGCTGCTTGACGGCCGCCTGGAATGCCTGCGAGCGCTCCTCGTCGGACGCCGAGCTGCTCTCCATCGCCTCGCAGAACGCCTTGCTCTCGACGCTGCAGCTGCGGATCACCTCGGTGCGGCCAAACTTGAACTTGCGCGTCTGCGCCGACTCGTACGTGGCGCACGGCGCGCCGTACATCTTGTAGAACGCCAGCTGGATCGCCATCTGCACCCACGCGTCGGGGCTGCACTTGTACTTCTTGATGGCGCCCTTGCCGTAGCCCTGGAAGTCGAGCACGGCGAGGTCGTGCTTCGCCTTGAGCTCCTCGAACGCCTTGATCGAGTCGGCGATGCGGCCCTCGACGTTGGCGTCGAGCGCAAACTCGATGGCCTTGGGCGTGGGCAGCGAGCGCGAGCCGCTGCCGAGGTCGATTTTGTTGGCGGCGAGCGCAGACAGGACAAAGTCGTTCATGCGCAGCGTCGGCGTGCCGTCCATCGTCGAGTGCTCACCCATGTAGCCCGACTTGCCGTTGGCCGAGACGACGAGCTGCTGCTTGTCGTAGAAGCGGTTCTTGCCGTCGCCCCACCAGAGGGCCCACGAGCGCTGCAGGAGTGTGAGCATGTTGGGCGGTAGTGCGCGGGAAGAGGGCCTGGGACTCACCTCCTCAATGGTGGTCGGCGAGTCGGCGTCGAGCGCCAGCACAATGACGGAGCTCTCGATGCGCGCCAGCGCCGCCTTGTTCTTCTCGCCGCCGCCGTTGCCGACGGCCAGCAGAGCGTCGCGCGCGGCAGCCCACTTGTCGCGGTTGTCCGACGTCAGCGCGCCGACGGGCTTGCTCTCGGGCGCGCCGGCGTTTGCGACGATGCGCTCCAGCTGGCTGCGTACGGGGTCAGCGGTGCTGCAGAGATGCGGCCTCCCTCTACTCACCTCTCGATCTCCTGCGCGCTGAGCTCCTCGCCGGAGTGCACGAGGTCAAACTCGTAGAAGCGCCCGCCGTACGCCACCACGAGGTGGTTGTTGCTGCGCGGGTCGGCCTTGGTGGCCTGGTCCATGTCCTTGACGGGGATGCGGCACGAGTTGAACATCCACGGGTACGAGGCGCTGCACATCGGGCCCGTCTTGGTCTTTTCCGGCGTGAGCTCCTCGCTGCGAGAGGGTCAGCACAGCGCCAGTGCGGCGCACCACAGCACACTCACCTCTCCACCAGGCGGCGGAACTGCAGCATCGCCTTGAGCTGGCTCGCGGCACGCTTGGTGCCGGTGCGGCGGCTGCGGTCGTCGGCGTGCGCGTAGAAGTAGCTAACGTACGGCACGACGGGGTCGCGGTAGCCCATGTATGCCGCCTCATTCCACCAGCTGGCGAGCCAGTTGCCCTCGCTGGCGGAGTCCTTGGCGCGTGCCTCGAGGCGCGCCTGCAGCTCCTTGAAGAGCGCCGCGTCGCCGCCGTCGAGGGCCGCCTGCACGGCCTGCTCCGTCTTCTTGAAGGCGGCGGCGTCGAGGTGCGGCTGCGTGCTGCGCAGGTACTTCTTGAACGTCTGCTCCAGCGCCGGCACGGGCAGCGCCGGCAGCGACGCCTGGCCGCCGAGCAGTGCGCCCTTGCCCTGAGCGAGCGTCTCGGCCTTGAGGAGCATGGTGCGGCGCTGGAGCGGGGCGCGGGGGGCAGCGAGGCGCAGCGGCGAGGAGAGCAGCGTCGGGCGGGTGAGGCGGCCGGCGGCGGCGGCGGCGTGCATGGAGCGCTGCAGCGAGATGTGGTGGTGGTGGGACGGTGAGGGGCGGGCACGGCCGTCGATCTTGGGGGTGCGCCGGCGCCGGGGCGGATGCCGCATCGCCGGCGCCGTGGAAGGCGCACGCCGGCCACCGCCCAGCCTGCTCGGGCACCTTCCCGGCGCAGGCACGCGGGCAGTGTCTCGCGCAGATGACGGCCTCGCGCAGCGCCACGCCGCGCGCCGCGCACCTCTCCGCTCCGGCCTTCACCGGCGCGCGTGGCAGCGGCCCAGGCGCTCCACTCGGCCCGGCGCACAGCGGAGCCGAGCCGGTTCCGCCGCCTCCGCATTCTTCGCGGGCGCCCCAGAGCAGAGCCGCGACTGCGGCAGGCAGCACCAGGGGCGATCTTCGCCTTCAGGTGCTCCCGTCGGCTGCAGCTCCGGCAGGATTCGGGACGAGAAGCGCAGTGATCTGCGGCTGCTGCGGCAGTCGCGCTGCGCGAAGCGTAGTCTCGGAGGCCTGCTCAAGGGCTTTTTCGACGCAACAGGTGCGTCCCCGGAGGCCACGAGGCTGATCAGCGGCATCTGACAGGATCCTCAGAAGGTCCGCAGCGCCTCCGACACGCAGGCAGAGACATCATCGAGCTGTATTTGCTGAGACACAAGCAGCCGAGTCTAGACGTGAAGTGTAACGCGCGCATCGCAGGCGGGACAGGGCGCAACGGGACGGATGGGGGCAGCACGGAGGTATCGAGAAAGACGCAGGAACGGGAGGCTCGGAGGCTGCAGCGGCGTCGTACAGACGAGGCTTGCACGAGCGCGCAGCACAGCGGAGCGGCACACAGATGCGCGAGACGCGCTCTAGGGCGAGTCGGTGGCATCGCGCGTGTGGTGCGCCGTGTCGCTGCGCTTCTCCTCCTTGCCCTCCTCGGCGAGGATGGCGTCGAGAGCGATGGGGCGGCCGGCCTTGTCGTAGCGGCGCGGCGTCTCGCGCTCCTTGCAGACGACGTCGTACGGGTTGAGGTAGCTGCTCTTGGCGAAGATGGCGTCCATCTGCGGTAGTACGAGTCAGCAGCAGCAATCTCTCTTCACATGCGACGGCACGTACCTCCTCGAGACTGCGGCCTGCCGTTTCGGGGAAGATGAAGTACGTCTACGGGTGGAGAGGGTCCCCGAGACGGCACGGTCAGCATCGCAGCGCACTGGGAGATCTAGAACTGCAGCTTACGGTGATGCAGATCAGGGCGTTCGTGGCCGCGAAGATGGTGTAAGTCCACGAGCCTGGCAAAAAAAGGTCAGCAACATGTCTGAAACGTCGCCGCAGTGGACGCACCGATCGAGTCGAAGGCTGTTCGAAGGGGAAGAGGCAGTGCGTAAGCGAGCGAAGTGAGGGCTTCCGTGCGCACGACGATGCGTACCGATCGGCGTAATGAGCACAACTTCACGGCAAAGGGCATGTCAGCGACGGCAGAACGCGTCCCAAGGTCCAAAACGCGCGCACCAAGGAAGTTGAACTGCAGAGCAGGCTCCGGTCAGCAGTGCAACCTCTCTGCTCCTTCGAAAAGCGTACGAACTGCCCAGTTGCTCATAGTTGCACACCCGTTGGCTGCAGCACGAATCCGCAAAGGAGTGATCTCGGCAGGGTACAGCCACGTCATGCCGAGCCATCCGATGGCGAAGAAGCTGACGCAGCGCCATATCAGCATGCAGCGAGCGCCAGGACGAGGCAGAGCACTCACGTGTTGAAGAGGAAGAGCAGACTGGTGGCGTGGAGTCTCGGACGTCAGCGAAGGACGCTGGGGGTGCGCACGTCTCGAGACTCTACCCACACAGCGGCCACATAGCCCGGCGCAGTGTTCGTCGCCTCCACGCTCAGCGGGTCGTTGGGGTCTGCGAGACGGGGCCTCGTCACGTTGGGATGAGTGGTGACAGTAAGGAGGGCCATGCAGACTTCAAAGGGAGGAGATTCAGCGGGGGAATGCGAAGAGAAGGGCGGAAGATACGCACTCGACATGGCTGCGGCGGTGTACAGCATCAGGTTGCGCCGGCCGTACTTCTCGATGATGAAGACGGCAATGAACGAGGCCAAGAAGTACTGCGGAGGGTGTCGGTGAGGGAGAGAGAGAGGAAGGGGAGGAAAGAGCGCACCTCGCAGCCATTCGCTAGCGCGACAATCTTTTGGGGAAAGGAGAAGGAGGGAAGGGTTAGGAAAGGCGGAAGGCAGGCTCGCATCTTGACGCACCCGCGACACGAGAGGTGACATGCCAATGTTGTTCTCGAAGATGAAGGCTGAAAGGAGACGGGCGTTAGGGACCGCGGGAGGCATGCATGACGCCAGCGACTCACCTGCGTAGTACCTGGAGACGGATTAGACGAGAGAGGGGGGTTAGGTGAGCTGCGAAAGCCGAAGACAGAAGGAGAACCTACGTAATGAGGTTTATACCCCCGATTCTGCCCCCCTTCTTGTCAGTTTTGGTTCGGAAAGGAAGAAGAGAGCGAGACTGACTGCTGGAACATCTGAATCGTAACGCCAAGGGCCGAACGGTGGAAGTTCCGCTCGGGTCCCTGGCGGAAGAGGTCCTTGACGCCGACGTCCTTGGAGATCTCGAGCGACTCGCGCATTTCCTTGATCTTGAGGTCGACCTCCGGGTCGTCGACGGGGATCTCGTCGAGCGCGGCGATGACATTGCGCGCTTCGGTCTCGTTGCCCTTGAGCATGAGCCAACGCGGGCTCTCGGGCATCCAAATGACCAGCAGCGTCGGAATGCAGAGCACGAGCTGGAAGGCAATGGGCACGCGCCAAGAGGCACTGGCGGTGGCCGGGTTGGCGTTCGAGTTGCCGCCTTCGGCGTTGGGGTCGAGGAAGAAGAAGGCGAGGTCGAGCACGTAGGCCATGAAGATGCCGCCCGTGATAAGCAGACCCTCGATCATGATGAGAGCGCCGCGCTTGTGCGGCGGAGACGTCTCGCTCGCGTACATGGGGATGGTAGCCTAGGCGCGCGCGCGGCGCGCGTGTCAGCGTCGCGCGCAAAACACTCCCTGACCCAGACAAGCTACTCACCGTGTGCATACCGTTGCCGACACCGCCGATGATGCGGCCCATGATCAGTACAACAATGGCGTTGGGGCCGGACGAGGCCGTCTGGATAATCGCGCCGATGGCCATCCAAACCTGCGCGCAGCGTGAGCTCCGAGGCGCAGCGCACCCTCTCTCCGACTCACAGTGCCGATCCAGATGATCTTCCGGCGGCCGAGCATGTCGCCGAGCCAGAGGCAAGAAAGCGCGCCGATCAGGCAGCCAATCTCGTACAGACCGATGGTGAGGCCCTGCAGCGTCGACTCGGACGACGTGGCGCCGCGCAGCTGCGCCTCGCGGCTCGTCGTGTCGATCTCGGGGAACTGCGAGACGAAGGCGGGCAGCGAGAGCAGGCCGCCCATGACGCCCTGGTCGTAGCCGAAGAGCAGGAAGCCCGAGCCGGCGGCGATGCCGAGCAGCCGGTTGAGCGCCACGCCGCTGCGCCCGGCGTACGTGGGGCCGTTGTAGGCGGCCTTGCGGTCCTTTTCGTACTGCGTAGTGAGGCCCATGATGGAGGGCAGATGTAGGAGGATGATGGGGTTGGGCGCAGAGCGGGGTGCTGCAGCAGCAGGGGGCTTTATACGTGGCAGCGGCCGGGGTGAGAGGCGGGGTGAGAGCGGGTGAGAGCGGCCGCCTGCCGGACGCGGCGCACAAAGACAGGAGATCTGCTGCGACACTGGGCCCGTGCTGCGCTGTCGCCTGCCCCTCTGAGGGTCCCAGCTAAGGCACGCTAGCGAGGGCGCTGCAGCGTAGCGTCCGTGCCTCGCGCGAGTGCGGAGAGGGGGCCAACGGACGCGGAGGAGCTCGGCGAGAGGGCGGAGCACGGCGGCGCGTCACGCGGTCGCGCCTTCTCGCAGCGCAGGGGGCACTTTACGAGCTTGCGAGAGGCTGCTCGGCACCGCAGCAGTCAAAGTGCACTCTCGGCCATCGAGTGGTTGGGCAGCGCGGTCGCTGCTGTCCTGCACCCGCCGGTGACCATGCGGAGGCGCCGGCACGCTGCGGCTGTGCGTATGCTAAACGCGGCGTCCGTGCTGCGGAGTTGCCCACGGGTGTGGTGCCCTCTCGCTCTCTCGCACGCGCTGTTCCGCTGCAGATCCCCCCGTTGGAGCCCCGCCCAGGCGCTCGCAGGCGTGCAGGCGCGCAGCGCATCATGGTGCGCCCTGCGCCCGAGCTCCGCCTTGCGCCCGCGTGCTCGCCCGACGGCCGATCGGCGGCATCGCCGGCGGCCCTTGAACCGCCGCCTCGCGCCGCCCTTCCCCCCCTCCTCTCCCCCCCGGCAGAGGTGGGAGAGCGCGCGCAAACTGGACTGCCACTGAGGGGCTTTTTTTTTCTGCATCCGGCGGAGCCCCTCGCGGCGACCCCTCTGATGCTTGATCTGCGCCATTCGTGGCAGAGCAGGCGCCACAGGAGGCCAGAGGGGTGATTGGCGCACCGCGATGACGCTGCAAGGGCAGCACTTCACGCGCTGGCAGAGAGAGGCGCTTAGGCACCACAAGGCACGGATGCAGCAGCGCAGCACCGAGCTCTCGCTGCGCGCTGTTGCCCTCGCTCTCGCAGCCGCAGAGGAGCCGCACCTCTCGCGGCATCGGCGGCTCGAGGCGGCACAGCGGGCAGCGGGCATCGGCGCAGGCGGGCGGCAGCGCAGTAGAGTCGGCGGCATCGTCCGGCCCGCACGCCGGAGAGGGACAGCGCGGGCCAACGCCGCACGACAGCTGAGCTGCCGCAGAGCCTTCGTGCGCATGGCCGCTCGCAGCGCTGGGTCTTGGCGCTGCCCGCGACTCACCGCGCCAGCTGGGCTCGGGCATCCTCCGCAGCATGTCGATGATTCAGCCGTGCGCGAGCTCATCCAGCAGCGCTCGAGGATCGAGGAGATGAGAGCGCTCCCAGAGACGCAGCAGAGCGCCGCCGAGGTCGCGTGCAGCACAGCCGGCGTGCGGCGCAGCGCTGCTCTCCTGCCCGCGATGCCAAGGCACTTCCGGCGCGCTGGCATTTCCTCGCTCGTCATGGCCTCCGGAAAGTCGCCGTGCCCGCGGCCTGCCCTCTGGCAGCACCTCTCCTCCCAGCGAATCAGAAAGTCACGCAACATCGGCTGGCAGGTGCCGCGAGAGCCGAAGCATCCCTCTCGCAGCGGCAGGCGCAGCAGCAGCCAAGGCGCTTCTTCCGGCGCAGCGCCCTGCCCCTGACGCTAGCACAACAGCTGCCGCCGCGCTGGCGGCGGGTGGTAGCGCGGCGCAGGGGGACGACAGCGGTCGCGCTGCAGCGCGCAGCGGCTGCCCCGCCGCTGCAGCTGAGGTCGTGCTCGTCAGCAGCAGCATCTCACGCTCGAACCAGAGCGCTGCTGATGCTGGGCGCTGCTGCATGCTGAGATGGTGAGATGACAATCTCGCCGAGAGCAAAGAGCGGGGCGGGCTGCTGTCGCAGGCGTGAGAGCGAGCAAGCGAGGCGATTCCGCCGAGCGGCGGCACCACCTCGTCCAGGGCGCACAGACGGGCCAACCTCTCGCCCCGCGGGGTGATGGGGTGCCTTCCAGCGCCAGACGCAGGCACGGCGCTTGCGCCCACGGCCGCAGCGCACTTGCAGGGCAGCAGCACGCAGCAGCTCGAGAGGCCACTTTGCACTCTTTTCGCGGCCCGCACGCCGGCAGAAGCAGCTTCGACGGCTGGCTCCCGCGCCAGCGTGTGTCAGGGGTGCAGCGCAGAGACGCGAGGCGAGGCGCGCTGCGGCGTGCGGTGAGGGACAGCGGCAGCGGTGTGGCCGCATAATGCGTTGCTGCCGCTCTGTACCCTTGGCTGCAGCTCAGCCCGCAGCCCATGGCAGCGCCTTAGCGCCTTGCTCAGCAGAGAAGAGTCTTGCCGAAACTGCTCCGCTTGCGGCATCAAAAGACGAGGGGACAGCGCAGCAGCGGCTCCTGGCTCAGGAGCCGCTGCTGCGCGGCGCTCTCTCATGCGGCGTCGCGCCACGTGCCGAGCTCGGCATCGGGGCGACCTTGTGCTGCTCCTACTCGTGTTGCTCTTGCTCTTGCGCGCGCCTGGTGGACGGTATGGTACACGCCCTGGCAGCACAGCAATCTGCGCTGGGCGTGGCTGCTGACGAGAAATGCCGTCTAGCTCCATCTGACGCCGAGCGAGGCCGCACCGGTCCGAAATGCGGGTTCGGCAAGACTCTATCTGCCGATGGGGCCCCGCACTCCGTTCGTCCGCTCGTCCGCTTGTCCGCTCGGACTGCAGCGGTGCAGGGTCTGACGGAGCACTAGACTTCCCACGCTCTCGCCGTCTGAGGCAAGATCAGCCAGCGAGATGAGCAGCGCTTCTCGTCGCTCAGCAGCGATTCTCGTCGCTCGGCTCTACAAGCCCCGAGCTGCAGAAGTGGCGCTGATTCTCCTTCAGAATGGCTTAAACAGCTGAGGCGAGAGAGACGTGATGAGATCGCGCTGCCGCAGTTTCAAGGATGGCCCCTCCTCTACGAATGATCTCAACGCTGGCTGGGAACGCGTCGATATCGCCGAGATCTCTGCCCTGCGGCCCTGGCTTGCGGCACGACATGGCGATTGCCAGAGCAAATCACGCCAGAAGCTCTCTCAGTTGTCCTCGCACAAGAAAGACAAGTCCAGTAGAGGAGCAGCCGGGTGAAGAGACGGACGAGGCAAACGGACCGATGAGAAGAGCGTGACGGAAGGCCGTCGAGCGCTCACAGCGCATGCCTTTGCGACCTAGACGCAAGCTTTGTGAGCTCGTGCTTTCAGAGCTTGGGGCAGCTTTGCCTCGCGGCACAAGTACTTTGCGCTACTCACTCTTCATCTGTTGCGCCTCTGCTCAAGGGCGTCCCAAGTCTCCCAATTGATCCTCGATGCGGCGATTTCTGCCATGGCCACGGCCTTGAACTCCTCGACGTCGTGCAGAGTGAGAAAAGCCTTACGGAGCCGGAGCTGTTCGACTTGCCACGGCTCAGGGACGATCGTGTAGAAGGCTGCGCCGGCCCGAATGCCGCTCTCGTGCCCCTCGCAGAAGTCAAGCTGAAGCGCCTGGCTGTCGCTGCGAGGCTTGATGCGCACCCAGATGACGAGGTCTCGCAGTCGTGACTCGGCGAGCGCAAGGCGCAGACTCTCGGGAAACGAGCTGCAAGGTATCTCCCATAGAATGTCGCACAGGTCGAGAGTGATGTGTGTCAAAGTTGTGGAGTCCACACCGTCGTCCTCGCAACATGTTGCGAGTCTGGGGATGCCATCCGTTGAGAGGAAGTAGAGCTCTTCCACCTCGTCACGTTCGTACTCTGACTCTGACTCAGACTCATCGTCGGCTGGGCATGGCAGTTAGTAGGGCGGCAGATACGTTGCCCTTCTTCTACGTACAGGAAGAGGACATGACGCGCAGATTCAGCAGGTGATGGTGGATGGGAAGGAAGCCTGGGGGTCCGCACGCCATTGAGCAAATGTCGTTTCGCTCAGGCACAGGCTCCGCACTCGCATCCGGGTGCGGGCACGCGGCAGTCCGGCAGCCCGTGAGTGCTGAGCGAGAGCGCTTACGATGCTGCCTCAGGGGGCGGACCGGCGCTTGGCGTCAGTCCCGCGGCACGGCGCGCACGGCAAGATGGAGCCACGGCGCATTCTTATTGCGAATCCGACCGGCGGCGCGTGCCCTTTCAAGCGCTCGCAGGTCTGACGGCCAGTGGGGACGCGGCAAGCTCGCTCGACGCTGTGCAGAGGCGCAAGTGCCAGCGACACTGAACTGAACGAGCCTGAGACGAGACGCTCGGTACGGAGACCGCGCCCCTCTGTATGCAGACGCGCGCGGCAGGCCTCCTGAGCAGTCATGTTGCCACCCCAGCAGTCAGGATGCAGACGACGCTGCGCACCGCCGCAGGTCCCTCTCGACGATACAGCGGTCAGTCTCACACATTAGCCGCTCGCAAGAGCGGCAGCTCGATGATCTTAAATTCGGCCCGACACGACACAGAGCTGCGTGTGTCTGGAGCCGATCACAGCGATGCTTGCCATCGAGCTGCAAGAGCCGGACATGCCACGAACGGACTCCATCACGACCTAGGCGCATCAAGGTGCTTCGTGAGCACGGCACCAGACCCACCGAGATGCGTAATCACTGTACAGAGCCGGCGCCTCTCCCGGACGGCCCTCAACGCCGCCGCGTTGATCCTGTTCGCCTTGCGCTCCGCCTGCCTCTCCGCCTCGGATCGCTCGAAATCCTCGAGCTCACGGACCGTGAGGAAGGCCCCGGCCCGCCGAAGCTTGTCCACCTGCTCGGGAGTGGGCACCCTCACGGCGAACGGCTCACCGGCCTGGCGGCGGTTCCTGTGCGCGTTGCTGAACACGATCAGCAGCGCCTGAGTCTTGCTGCGAGGCTTGATCTGGATCCAGGTGCTCCACCCTGACTTGTCCGGCCCTGCTTTGCCGTTGAGCCTTTCCTCGTGGGAGAAATTCCACCTGACGCCAGCGATCTCGACACCTTCGACTTGCCACGTACGCTCTGATCCCGGGAGGCGACCACCGGACCGCCAATTCCACGGGGGGACGACGCCGATCGTTGACAGGGCCCAGAAATCAATGTCCTCGTCCACGCCAGGGGCTGAGCGACAGTCAGCATGGCGCCAGAGACGCCGCAGCTTCGACGCACAAGACATGACGAGCAGAACGATGATGGTGGATGGGAGTAGAGCGCCGCGGGCGAGGGTGGCAAGCAACCTCATCACTTTCCACTTCTCCGCGCGTGCAAGCCGCCGTAGTACAATCTCTTTGATCAATGAGGCCTCGATCGATCAGGGGACGAGACATGGCCTGCTCGCCGGTGATGAGCTTCTCCGCCGCCGCGCTAGAAAGGCGGCCCGAGCTCGTCCAACAATGCGCATGCAAGCGGGCTGGACTGCGTGCTGGCACGTCCTCGAAAGACCTGAATGTCTGTGAGCCAGCGCAGCAAGTGCGCTCACCATCCGCGAAGATCCGTCAGCGGCAATCAGCGTCGCATTTCTCGTGAAGGCTGAACGAGGCGCGAGACAGCCCGGTATCGACGCGACAGCGCTCCGCCGCCGGCACGCGCCAGCCCCGCTGAGCCTCGGCGCTCATGGCCCTGCGCCGTGCAAGCGCAAGTCTCTGCTCACGCTTCAACGTCAAGTCAGCTGAAGCACACTCTGCACGGCCCTCCTCAGTGCTGCATGTCCACGAGCCGAACTGTAATGCTGTGGATTCGCGGACGACTAGAGGGGCGGAGCAGACGAGGCACTCGAGTGTGGATGTATGAGGGTGGGAAGGGGGAATTGCAGATGCGGGGTGTGGCTCAGCTCGTGTCCATCTCGGGCTTGACGGCGTCTGCGTTGAAGCTCGGCACGTCGCTGGGGCTGAGCTGCTCGTCGTCGCCGTCGTCGACCTGCATGCGGCTCATGCTGAGGCTGGCGCCGGCCAGGCCGCCGCTGCCGCGCCGCCCGCCAAACGACGTGCCCATGCTGCCGGCGACGCTGCCGTCGTACGTGCCCGAGTAGGAGAAGCCGCGGAACTTGTCCTGCACGCTGCTCGTGAGGGCGTCGTCGGCGTCGCTGCCGGGCACGCGCTTCGCATCCTTGCTGATGGCGACGCCGTTGGAGGCGGCCGCGTCCTTGCGCGCCTGTGCCGAGACACTGAGTATGCCGCCGGCCTCGAGCGCGTCGTGCGCCTGCCCCGCGTTGCCCTCGAAGCCGGGAATGAGCGCCACCTCGCCGAGGTCCGTCTCGGTGAACTCGGGGTCGAAGTTGGCCACGCTCTCGTCGCTCTCGACGAGCGGCTTGAACGGCGGCGTGAGCTGCTTCTTGGCGAGCGCGTCAAAGTCGATGTCCTTGAAGAAGGCGTGGCTCTTGAGGTCGAGCGCGTCGCGCTGGGCGCCGAGGCGGTGCTTGGGGTTGCGGTTGAGCAGCTAAGCAAAGAGGTCAGCTTTGCATCGACAGACCCGCTGTCGGCCTTCCACAGCACCTCGTACTCACGCCCTTGACGAATTGCTTGCCGTCGTCGCCGATGGCGCCCCGCGGGAACTTGATCTTGCCAAAGCAGATGTTGCGGTACATCTGCTGCGTGTCCTCGGCGTAGAACGGGCTCCAGCCGCAGCACATCTCGAAGAGGAGCCTGTGGCAAAACGTCAGCGCACTGCATGTGTCTTCCCCCCGCATCGCACTCACACGCCGAGACTCCAAAAGTCGACCAGCTTCGAGTAGCCGCTCTCGTCGAGCAGCACCTCGGGCGCCAGATACTCCGTCGTGCCGCAAAACGTATTCGTGAGCTGCCCGGCGCCGAGATCCGGCTTCGAGAGGCCAAAGTCGCACAGCGCCACGTGGCCCGTCGCGTCGAGGAGGATGTTCTCGGGCTTGAGGTCGCGGTAGACAATGTCGTACTTGTGCAGGTGCTCGAGCGCCAGCACGAGCTCGGCAATGTAGAAGCGCGCGCGGTCTTCTGTGAAGCGGCCCTCGCGCTGCAGGTGCCAGAAGAGCTCGCCGCCGGACTTGTAGTCGGTGACAAAGTACAGCTCGAGCTCGGACTGGAAGGAGAACTTGAGGCCCACGAGAAAGGGACAGTCGAGCGACTTTTCGAGGATGCGCCGCTCGCCCATCGTGTGCGTCACCTCCTTCTTGATGGCAATCTCGCGCTTCGAGAGCACCTTCATGGCGTAGATGCGGCGCGTGTCCTTCTTGCGCACCTGGAACACGCGCCCAAACGTGCCGCGCCCGATGAGCTTGAGGTACTCAAAGTCCGCCGGCGTCAGGCGCCGCTTGGAGCTCAGGCGCTCGTACTTGAGCTCGAGGCGCACCTCGCCGCGCGCGCCGCTCGTCGCCTCGTCGTCCTCGCGCGCGGCGAGCGAGTACCACTGGTCCGAGTGCATGCCGGGCACGAGGCGCGGGCGGATCTCGCGCATGCCCAGGAAGCCCTCCTCCTCGGCCTGCCGGTCGTACACGCTGATGAAGATGGGCTTGTCGCTGTGCGTCACGTCAAACGTCACTTCGTGGCGCCATGCCGGGTGCAGCACGTAGCCGCCGCCGGGCGCCGTGCTGCCCACTATTGGCGCGCCCGGGTCTGCCGGCGTCACCGTGCGTGCACGCGCGCGCGAGCCGCTCGGGTCCGCCTCGCTCGCCGGCACGGGCTTGCCCTTGGCCTCGGGCACGGCGCGCTCGTCTATCGGCTCGCGCCCGATGAACTCGTTTTGCTCAAACGACACGACGACGTACGGCCGCGACGCCGCAGAGCTCGTCACGAGGTTGCGCCCTGCCACCACCTTGACGGTGAGGTAGCCGCGCGGCGCAGACGTGTTGCGCGTGCCCGACGCGGCCGGCGCACCCTCGGCCTTGGCCTTGGCTGGCGGCAGCTGCATGGTAAAGTCGGGCACTGCGAGGGAGTGTGAGTGCGCTGAGAACTGAACCGCGGGAGTGCTAGACGGAACAGGATAGGACAGGACAGGCGGCTCAGCTTGCCACATGGGCCGCGGCGCCTCGACAAGACGCCGCATTGCTGCTTGAGAGCGCCGTCGCAGCTACGCGATGCCTCTGCGCGGGAGCTGCCAGCAGCGCTGTGCTGTGCCCAACGCACGCAGCAAGTGCCCTTGCACTGCTTCGCAGCAGCGCGCATGCGCCTCGCACAGTCTTGTGTCTGCTGCCAGCAGTGCCGTCCCTGCTCTGCCTGCCACACCTCTCAGCCGCCGCAGCTCTTCGCCATCACTCACCCGTCGTGCTCAAGCTCGTCGTCGGCACGCTCGCATGGCTAGTGACACCTCCCGGCGTCCTCAGTCCTCCAGGCGTCAGTGGTGGCTCGTATCCCTGCTGCTGCTGCTGCGTCTGCGCTGCGCCAGCTGCCCCGCCAGGCCCCAGCAGGCCCTGCATGCTGCCCGCGCTGTTGCCGCGCGAATGACTCATGCGCGCCGCTGGTGCGCCGGGAGCCGAGGCGGACGCCGAAGGCTGCGCGAAGGTGTCGAACGGGTTCTGCTCGGCTGCTTTGTTCGACGAGGCCTTGGGCGTCGTCTGTGCGCAGAAGGTGCGTCAGCGCAAGGAACGAGGCAGGGCAGAGCAACGCGACGCACCTGGTCGGCGGGGCCGTGGGGCCAGAGGCCCTTGAGCATGTTGGCGGCCATGGTGGGCGTCTATGCGAGAGCGAGGGGTGGCTGCTGTGTGACGAGCCCTCTAGGGCAGGCGGCTCGGGAGTGTCACAGACGTGGAGGTAGTGCCGGTGCAGATCAGCGCGAGGCGACGCGAGCGACGACGGCGGCGGGCAGGCTCGCGCACTCGTGAGGCGCAGGAGCGTGAAGGAGTGAGTGTGAGAGAGAGAGAGAGTCCGGGAAGACGGGAATGGCGAGCAAGCGCTCGCGACAGGGGTGCAGAGGAGCTAAGCAGAGAGGCACACGTAACGTGGCGCACGCCAGTGTGGAGACGACGGCCGGCGGAGCGCAACGCGCAGCGTCACCGCGCGCTGCTGCCGCTGTTGCTGAGGAGGCCGGGCGGCTGAGCGGCCGCACCGCTGGCGGCGCCGCGCTGGCGCGCGGCATGCGGCCTCGCTCGCCGCCCCAGCGCAGCCTTGGCTTAGCCGCGGCACGCCGCCGAAAGAGGCCGGCAGCGGTGCCGCCTCCGCTCCGCCGAGAGCGACGCCTCACCTCACGCACAGCCTCGGCACCGAGCATCGGCCTCATGCGCATCAAGCCTGGATCTCGGCGCCGCGCTCGGCATGCCTGCTCCTCCGTGCTGCCGATATTCCGATGCTGCGTGCCAAGATGAAGAGAGCGACGCTCGGCCGGTCCAGAATACAAGTCGAGTTACGGCTGCTGCGAGGCCGGCGAGCTCGAGGTGGACGAACACAGCGGCTGCGCTGACGTTGCGCGGCTGTTCCCACACTTTTCTGCGCGCCGCTCGTCCGTCTCCTCCACCACACCCGCATCTCCAAGCCATGGCCTCTTCCTCTTCACTCGCGCCTCTAGTGCTTCCCGGCCAGCCGCTGCCCAGCAGCAGCGGCAGCAGCGCAGCGCGTGCCGGCGCCGGCACGTATGTGCGTGGCGCTCACATGCTCTCGTCGCTGGTCGGGCGGCCCGATGCACGAGGCGGCGTCACCGGGCGGCCCTCTCGCTTCGTCGTGCCCTCTCCCTCCTCCATCGTGCTAGGGCGCATCACGCGCGTCACGCCGCGCCAGGCCACGCTCTCCATCACCGTCGTCGATGGCTTGCCCGTCGCTGCCGGCGACGCAAGCGCGGCGGGAGAGGCCAACCGTGCGGCGGGCGAAGATCCGGCGGGCGCAGACTTCACGGGCGTGATTCGGCAGCAGGACGTGCGCATGACGGAGAAGGATAAGGTCCGGTTGGGCGATTGCTTCAGACCGGGAGATATCGTCAGAGCTAGCGTGGTGAGTAGCATCGCTCCGGCTGTAGAGAACACTGAGCTGCGCAGGGCGGCCGCCAGCGTGAGCGAGAGCAGCCAGCGATGAGCTCGGTGTCTTGCGCCGTTGCACCTCAACAACGAGGAGAGAGGCTGATAGGCTACAGACGCTGTGGGCCTGCTGCCCACTCGCGGCGCATTGCAGTCAAGAGCGGAACATGCCGCTGCTCGTGCAGCAGAGGCAGCGCTGAGCGCGTGGCGACTTGAAGGCCAGCAGCGTTGCGACGACGGGGTATGGAGAGGCGATGCACGGACAGGCTGCGCGACTGCCGTGTGCATCGGCCTGGCTGCTGAGCGCGCTTGACGCATGCTGGCATCACTGCTTTGGTGCTAGCGCGATAGGAGGCGCCTCGTTGCTGGTCGCAACGCTGACCCTTTTCCTCAGATCTCTCTCGGCGATGCGCGTTCCTACTACCTCTCAACAGCAGCAAACAACCTAGGCGTCATCTATGCGCTGCCCTCCCTCGCGCTAGGCGAGGCAGCACCCGAGATGGGCACCGAGGCGCTCGCGCCACTCGAGCCGGTGAGCTGGAACGAGATGCGCGATCCGCGCTCCGGCAAGACGGAGAAGAGGAAAGTGGCGAGACCGGAGGGAATCTGATGCCGCGTCACTGTTGCTGCGCTGCGCTTGAAAGGAGCGGCCGGTGGCGCATTGCGTCGGCGAGAGAGGAAGAGTGCGGTATGCGTGCATTAGATGAGATGGAAAGATACAGTGGTGCAGACGGTGACGTGGAGACGAGCGAGCCGGGGAAGACAGTGGGAGAGAGAGAGAACAGGATGAACGCGCGCAGTGGGCCCCGGGCTCGAGCAGTGATGCCCTGCAGCCGTCTCAGCAGCAAGCAGCCGCAGACACAGCAGCTAGACTTCGCTCAGCCGTCGCGCAGGCCAAGCGGGCCCGCAAAGTCGACGGCTGCGCGACAGCGACGCACTTGCATGACGTACGACTCGACAAGTGGCCAGACTGATGATGCAGACACGTCAGCCGAGGCGCAACGCCGGTGCTACGACGTCAGCGGCACTCACCCATGGCACACTGCGCCGTATTCGCCTCGGCCAGACTCAGATCGCTCAGCGCCACACGCCGCTTCCAGAGGGCCTCTTCGCCCTCTGCCGTGCCGCGACCGGCGAGCCTGAGTGCCGTCTCCTGCTCTGCTTGCGCACGCGTGCCGGCCAGCAGGACCACGTGCCCATACGCAGCGACCATCTGCGAGCAGGCAAAGAAGGGCGTGTGACGCAGCAGCGGCGACGTCTCGTCCTCCACAGCCACAGCGTGGCGCGCACGCGTACGGTCGACGTAGTCCTCGCGCACAATGTCGAGGATGCCAGCAGAGGCGGCGTCGATGCGGCGCAGCGAGTCGGCCACGCGTCGTGGATCGCGCGCGGGCACGGGAGAGCTCTCGGGCGAGGAAGTGCCGTCGCCCAGCTCCGAGATATGGCTGGAGGTGTTGGGACGGAAGGCGCACGAGGAAAAGTCGAGCGTCACTTCGGGAAAGGTGGCGTTGCGATGGAGGTGGATGCGGCCGCTGAGACGAGAGATGTTCAGCACACGTGAGCTGCAGAGCATCAGCGCGAGACTCACGAGTTGAGAGTCACGATGGCCATGAGTGCCGCCTCGGCGCGCGCCTCAGCCGCCTGCAATTTGATCTCGTCGCCCTCGAGCTCCGCAGCCTTCGCCTGCGCCCTTGCAGTGCGCCATCGCGCGTCCGACGAGAGCAACAGATTCTCTGCGAGACTCTCCAGCGCCGCCAGTCGTGCCAGACTGCGAGCTGCAGCCGGCGTCGGCGGGACCAGCGCCTCTCGCATCAGCGCGCAAGCTCGCACGCGACTGTCGTAGCTCTGCCGTGAAGGATTGGCACTGTGCTCTTCGCCGAGATCGATGGGCATGTCGACTGCTGCCTGCGCCGCCAGACTGCCTACTTGTGCGCCCGCTTGCCCGCTCGAGACAATCCACAGCATCGAGTCGACGAGGTAGAGCTCCCACCATGCGCGTCGCAGACCCTCTAGCACGTCGCGATCTGCTGCTGCAGTCCAGCGCTGCGCTGCGCCAGCGAGCGGCAGGGGCGCTTGCTGCGATGCCTCGCCGAAGGGCGCATCAAGCCGGTGCACGCCCCATTCGCTGGCGAGGCGAGCCGCCTTGCCGAGGGCGACATTGGCGTCGGCCGGTTTCCCGGCGCCCGCTTCGACAGTGGCGAGTATGAGGAGGCCGCGCATGCTGTCGAGTGCGTCGCCTGCGCTGAGCGCATCGCAAAGCCCGGCAGGCGCGCGCGGCAGACGCAGCTCAGTTGCCAGGTGCCGAGCGTGACTCAGACTGCGCTCTGCGGCTTGTGCAGCCCTCGGTCCGGCAAGTCGCAAACCAAGCGCAGAGGCCGCGTGATGCACGAGCATCTGAGCCTCGCTGCGCTGTGCACTGAGCCAGGCGGCGTACTGCGCACTCGTGCCGAGCAGCGGGATGATCTGTTGCGCGCGCGTGAAGAACGCTACGAGTCCCTCGTCCATGAACGCCAGCGAGCTGCTGCGCGCGCTGCTGCTGCCAGCCTTGCGCGAAGGACGCGAGGTGGAGCTCAGCATCTGGATGCTCTCGAGCTGGTGCATGGCGCGATTGGAGAGTTTGGGCGAGTGAGACGGATTGGAGAGCTCCGCTATGCTGACGGCCGGCTGCGGCAGCGACGTGGGCATCCAGTCATGCAGGCTCTGCAGATCCTGCATGACCGACGAGCGATCGGGCGACGAGGCGCTCGTCGAGGCGCTCGGCGAAGCTGCAGAGGGACCGCCGCCGCCGTTGCTGCCGCCGGCGAGGATGTTCCACATGGTCGGATCCATCATGACGTTGTCGAGCGGCGAGCTGGCTGTGGCCGTCTGCTGCAGCGCAGCATCGCTGGTGCCCGCCGGAAGTGAGGCCCAGAAGGCAGCGACTGAGTCGGCCATGCTGTCTGCGGAGCTGCTGCTCGACTGCTGCTGCTGCTGCGCAGCCGGCCAGGAGCCGAGCGACAGGTCTGGCAGCGCCGTTGCGGCGGCAAAGGGCGTGCCGTTGGACAGCGGAGCCTGCCACGCGGCTGTCTGTGCGGCCGTGGGCGGCTGCTCGCCGGCGTGCTCCTCGGCGTGCAGCTCGTCGTCCTCACTATCGCCAGCCGCGCGGCGGCGCTTGGCCGGCCGGCCAATGCGCTTCGTCGGCGCCCAGCGGCACGCGACGGCGAGGCGCTGGCAGCGATGGCAGGGCGCATCTGCGGGTATCTCAACATCGTCGCCGGCCTTGTGGCTGGCGAGTGCATGGGGCGGGACGCCCTCGCACGCCGACTTTGCGGCGCGGCACGGCAGACAGGCGAGCGCCTTGCGGCGCACGGGCGCGGGCGGCGAGGCGGAGGCGGAGGCCGCCTGGTCCATGGCGGCGAGGCGGTCAGCAGGCAGAGCGGGATGTGTGGATGTGGGTGTGGGAGTGAGAGCCTGAGAGGCGATGCGGCAAGCGCGCATGTCTTGAAGGCTAGCTGCTGCGCTCCATGCGGTGCTCCGGCCCGATCGCAGCACCGCCAGATGTCCAGTAGCCGCGGCGCGAATTGCAAATTGCCGCGGCCCATCTGCTCCCGCGGCTCCCGCTGCCAGCCCTTCGTGCTGACGCTCCTCGATGTTGCTCATGCGACAAAGGCGACGACGAGAGGGACGCAGAGACCCCCACGCCGCCACTACCCCCGTCGGGCAGACCCTGGAGGTGCATGTCAAGGGCCTGGACCACGTCCCGCACACGCGTCTTCTCACTCCGACGTGGCTCACTCGCGGACGCTCCGCAGATGATCAAATTGGCGAGATGCAGCTGGCTGCTGCAGCGAGCCTTGGCACGCTGAGACGCTGCGCCACAGAAATGACGGAGATGATCGAAAAGGCGCGAGGATGGGGGCCTGGAAAAGGAGCGGATGTCAGTGTCGGCCGTGAGCGCCGCGTCCTCCAGGTGCAGCTGCCGGGCTGCCTAACCCTCGCCCGATGTGTGGCTTTCGTCTGTCCCGCAGCGTCGGAACAGCCTGCGAGATTGACAGTAAGAGAGTAGCAGGCCGCGGCTCTGGCCGAGCGCACCGAGTAAGAGGGGCTTGATTCCTCAGCGGAGCACGTCAGGCAGGGCGAGCACGCCAGGCGCCCATGGGAGCGGCACGGATAAACCGCGGCGGGCGTGGGAGCGGCATGGGCGCGTTGGCAGCGAGAGAGGCCTCGGCAACGGCAGACCCAGCCTCCCGACCTCCACCGCCCGCACCCGCCGCACACCCCTCGGCCCAGCATCATCCAGCTCTGCAGCATGGCCGCCGCCGCCGTCGCTGTGCCGTCGGCCGTGCCGCAGCTGGCGCACGCCTCGACGTCAAGCTCGGCGCCGGCGCACACCGCAGCGCACTACTCGCGCACCGCGCGCACCCAGCTCTTCGTGCACGCCGCCGGCAGCACGCCGAGCCTCGTAGTGCGCGGCGCAGACCATGCGGCCGTGCACGCCCTCGCCTTTCCTGAGGCGCAGCAGCGCGACGCTGTGCTGGATGCACTGGCGTGCGGCGAGGGCGGCGGCGAGGTCGGGCCACTGGTGAGTGTCGCCGTGCGGCGTCTCCTCGCAGCGCCCTGATCTCCGGCGCAGATCGTCGCGGCACTGCGGCAGCACATCGCCGTCTGGACACGCACGGGCACTGGACTGTGGAAGCAGCACTCGGCCTTTGAGCTTGCGCAGGACGAGGACGGCGAAGCGACGGCGCTGGATCTGCGCGAAGGTGAGGCGTGTCGCTGCTGGGCTTACCTTGCTGGCCTTTGGCGCTGACGCACAGCCGGCAGGCAAGCTGCTCGTCGGCGCCCAGCGTTCCATCTCGCTCTGGACACTCGACGAGAGCTCGCCGCTGCAGCCATGGCGTAGGGTATGGCGGCGTCGCTGTCCTCAGCCCATCCTGGCAGCCCGCTGGAGCCCGGACGGCGTCGTCTTCGCCGCTGCGACGCGCGACGATGATCGGGTCCTGCTGTGGGCCTGCAGCGGCAAGGCCGATGAGCGGCCCCGTCCGCGCCTGCGCGCCGAGCTGACGCACTTGCGCCCGTTGCGGAGCTTTGCGTGGCGCCAGGCGCCGGACAGCTCTGGGTGAGGCGACGCTTGCGTCCTAAGGGGAATGCCGCATCGCTGACATGCCCGAGCACAGACAGACCGAGGCGCTTCTCACCACCACGACCGACGGCACGATCCGTCTTTGGGCGCCGGTGATCGATACTCCCGGCCAGCCGCGGCTCTGGGCGGCCATGTGTCCCTCAGCCATGGGAGGCGCCGAGCCGTCGTACCTCGCAGCAAAGCACGTGGCCGGCGCGCTCGAGGCGACAAAGGCGGCGTACGCGCGCCAGACGGAACTGGCGGCCGTGGGCTTGCGCACCGACACGCAGCGCGAGGCAGAGATGAGAGAGGGAGCAGTGCGCAGACTCGAGGCGGTCGGAGAGGCGCCGGATCTCTTCCTCGGCCTCTCGAATGGCAACCTGACGCTCAAGGCGCTCGCTGTGCGTTTGTCATGTCCTTGCGGTGATTGACGGCTCAGCTCACGTCTCTGCTTACAGAACGTCGATCGAGCACCGCCGACGCTGCACAGCATCTACACGGTGCTCAGCACGCCGTCCAGTCTGCCCGTGCTGCCCGCCTCGCTCGAGCCGCTGGCCGTGCCGTCAGGCGCTGAGCCTTCGGCGCCCGCTGCAGTTCTGCGTCTACAGCACGCCAGCTACACTCTGGCGCCCGCTGCATTCTTCGAGGGCTCAGGCGGGCTGCATGCATGCGCACCGGCGCAAGTGCCGCACACGAAGCTCATTGAAGGATTGCTCAGCGCTCCCGGCCACGGGCGAGTCGCTAGCGTGGCGCAGGACGAAGGTCGCATCTGGTCCGCCTGCAAGCGTGGCTCACAGCGAGGCTTGCAGAGCTGCGAGGCGAAAGGCGGCCGCATCGTCGCTCTCGCCGAAGACTCGTACGCAACGCACGACGGCGACTGTGTGACGCTGCATCGCCGCGATGGCAGCTCCACGTCGCATGCGATGCCGCAAGATGCTTCTCTCGCAGCCGTGTTGCTTGGCAGCGAGGCCCCGATTCTCGTCACTTCAGAAGCGAGCGTCCTGCAAGGCAGCAGCTCGCATCAACTTGCAGTCAAGAGCGCGCCGCGGCTCGTGTTTGCCTCGACTGCGACCATCTTCACGCTCGGCGTCGACGGCACACTAGAGAGCTGGACGCGCAGAGAGAGCAACTGGACTCGCTCCTCGCGCCTCGAGTGTGCTGCCAGTCAAGTGCGCCATGCGCGGGCTTCCGAATTGAGCCTTGTTGCGCTGGCGTCAACGAGCAGCGCGGGCAACGCGCAGGTGACCATCTGGGACACTCGAGCGTCTGCCTTTTCTTCTGGCCTGGAGCACGCACAGGACTGGCCCGCCGACATCTGCGCACTGGCCTGGGCGCCCGAGAGCTTTGCGTCGCTGCTTGCCGTTGCGACGCAGACGAGCGTGACGCTGCTTGCGCCACGCCGACGAGGCATCAACGAAGATGTCCGGCGCATCGGCGCGGCGCGCTGGGAGGCACTGGCTCAGGTCGAGCTGGGCGCACTGGCATGCGAGCCTATCGTCGACGTCGAGTGGCTTGCCAATGGCCAGCTGCTGGTCGCTACCCAGGCAGAGATCCATGCATACGGGCCTTACCTCACACCCAGCGGCGCGCAAGCAGAGGGTGATGTCGCTCCCGCAAGGCCGCGACATATCGCCGAGCTTGCGGCCAAGCAGAGCGGCCCATTGTCCGACTTCCACCCTCTGATGCTCTGGCAGCTGCTGCAGTGGAGTGCGTGCGGCCTTTCGGAAAGGATGCCGGCCTGCGCTGACACATGCTGTTCACAGATCGCCTCGACGTCGCAAAGATGGTCGTCGTGCTGCTCGCCAAGGCCGCGCAGGCGAACGAGGACGCCGCACCGCTGCGGCCAGACAGCTTGCCGGTCGATGTGTACCTCGACGAACTGAGCGGCTCAACGCAGCCAGAGCGTGCGGCGCAGGGACAGCCTCTGTTTGATGAGACTGCCGAGGCGCAGGCCAGGTGAGTGTCGCCATGTGCGACAACGGCGACGTCTGCTGACGGGAGTCGCCGCAGCGACGCCCTCGAGTACTCGTCGGGCTTGATGGCAGACCTCATCACGACGCTCGAGAGCACGACCGTCGGCGACCTCGACGCGGCTGAGCTTGCACAGCTGCGTGTGCTGCTGCGCACCATCGACGAGGTCAGTCAGCTCACGCACGGCAGCATGGGCTTCGCTGATGCCCGGCACAGGTCAACGAGCAACGACGCTCGCTCGACGACAACGGTCTTCGGTACCTCGTTGCGCTGCGCTGCTTCGTCAACCAGCCCACAAGCGATCCTCTCGCGCGGCTCAAGTACCGCGACATGCTGTGGGCGTACCACAGCACCAGTCAAGAGGTGCTGCAAGGCGCCCTGACGCAGGCGTATGACGGCCAGCTGACGTGGGATGCGGCGCGCGCCTCGGGCATCTTCATGTGGCTGCGCTCGCACTCCGAGCTACGCGCCGTGGCGGAGCAAGTGGCGCGCGCTCAGTACATGTCGGGCAACGACCGTGATCCGGTCAAGTGCAGTCTCTTCTACTACGCTCTCGGCAAGCATCGCCTGGTGCAGAACCTCTGGAGACAGGCAGCCTGGCATCCAGAACAGCAGAAGATGCTCGCGTTCCTCGCCAAGGACTTTAGCGAGGAACGCTGGCGCACTGCGGCGCTCAAGAATGCCTTTGCGCTGCTCAGCCAGCGCCGCTTTGGTGAGTTGCACGCACACGGCAGCTGTACAGTCTCACGCTTACACCCGCATGCAGACTTCGCGGCCACATTCTTCATGCTGGGCGACAGCCTGCGCGACGCCGTCAACGTCTGCGTCCGCAACCTAGACGACCTGCCCCTGGCCCTCGCCCTCGCACGCGTGCGCGAAGGCAGCGACGACGGGCCCGTGTTCAGCGAACTGCTGCGCAAGCGCGTGCTGCCGCTCGCGTTCGAGCAGGGCTACCGCTGGCTCGCCAGCTGGGCCTTCTGGCTGCTCAAGCGCCGCGATCTCGCCGTGCGCGTCATCCTGGTACGTTCACACACCGTCTCAGTCTCACACAAAAGGGTCCCACCCCAACCTGAGCTCTCATTCCACGGCCCCTCAGGTTCCCTTCACCGAGCTGCTGGCCGATGCCGACGTTGCAGAGATGATGCCGGCCGACGCCAAGGCGGGCGACGGGCACTACGCCGATGCGTCGCTGGCGATCCTCTTCGGCCAGTTGAAGCACAAGTCCCTGCAGACTCTGCGCGGCACGGCGACCATCTCCGAGCAGCTCGAGCGCGACTTTGTGCTGCACATCAACCGCGTGCTGCGCAGTCAAGGTGCGTGGGCGGGAGGAGGAGTGCTGAGCTGTCGCCGTGAGGCTTAGGTGTATCACTCACACAGGCTGCCATGCTCTCGGCCTGGCGCTGCTGCGCAATTGGTCCTTCGACGCGCCGGATCTGGGCTCTGCAGCAGCGCCGCCATCCTCGACGGTGCTTGCGCCGCCGTCGGCAGCCGCCGCGAGCTCGGACATTGCGGCCGACTTGTTCAGCGCGCTCTACATCGAGACGCCCAGCAGCGAGGCGCCGATGTCTCGCTCGCCGCCTGCGAGTCCGACTGCGGTGCGCCGGCGCAGCAGTCTGATGCGCCGAGCGTCGCGCGTCATTGATGACTCGGAGCTTGTGGCACAGAGCTTGCGCGCGCCGCAGGCCGCCGTGCGCGAGGAGCCTGCGGCAGTTGCGACGGTCAAGGCAGAGCCGACGGTCGAGGAGGAGCAGCCGAGCAAGCCGGCGCCGGCGCCTCCGCCGCGCTTGCCGACGATGCTCAAGTCGAGCAATGCCGCGACGCAGCAGCAGGGAGCGCAGGAGTTCTCCTTCGACTCGTTTGGCTTCTGATCGATCGTCGTCGGAGATGGCGGAGGGACCTAGCGCGGGCACAGCGAGGGTCGTCAGCTGCTCAAGGGGACTAGAGTTTCACTCACTCGGCGACGCGGCGCGACACTTGCGAGCGACTCTAGTGCCTTTACAACGAAGGTCGTCAACTGTTCACGCCCACGAAGAGCGCCACTCACTCGGCAACGAGGGACGCACGCGCGAGACTGCAAGACCTGAAGGACTCGTACCTTCGCACCGAGTGTCGTCAGCTGCTCAAAGCTACAAGAGCATCACTCACTCGGAGCGGCAAACTCTCGTCGGACACGTGCAAGACGGCCTCAAGCCTTCAACGCGGGTGTCGTCAGCTGTCCCCGACACCCGACAATGCAACTCACTCGGCTCGCGAACGAAAGGAGAGAGAGAGAGAGGCTTACTTGCGCCTCCTATCTATTCGTACGTGCTCCACTAGTGTCGTCAGCTGTTCGCGACTAGCACGAGCAACACTCACTCGGGAATGAGAGAGGCTTTTGGGCGCCTCTTGTTGCTTTGTACCTGCACAACTTGTGTCGTCAGCTGCTCCAGCACTCTGCTCCCACACTCACTCGGCGACGCCGAGGGACGGACGAGTGCTTGAGGAGACCGCGATGCTCTTGGTGACGTGCAGCGCCGAATGCAGAAGAGCAGAACCTTGCGAGACCGAGAAGGCCGAGCAGAGCAGACGAGACTTGCGAAGCAGAGAAGAGCAGAGCAGCACGAGCACGATGCGAGACAGAGAAGCGAGCTGGGTATGGGGCCAGTTGAAGGGCCGAGTGCGCCGAAGCGCTTTTGAGGGGTGTGCCGCGGCACTTTTGAGGGTTGCTTGAAGCAGCACTGCGAGCAAGGCAGCTCATTGCGGATCGAGGACCTCGTCCTCGTTCAACGCAGCACAAGCGGCTTTGCCTGCTGCACTCAAGCGTGAGGCATGCCAACTCATGCATGCCTCATCTCGACGACCAGAGAGCGACCGCTCGATGAGCTCTGCGGATGAGGGCCAAGACGACGAGCGTCTTTGCCCCTTCTCGACGCAACGAGCAGATCGGCTTTTGCTCTCTCTTGTCGAGGCGAGGGCGACACCACTGTCCGAGCCTCTCGCATGGGGGGCGACACCGCTGTCCGAAACCCACGTGTGGCGCAGGTCGGCTCGAGAAGAGAGGGACGGCCCGATCGCGGATGATGTCTAGATGCAAGCATCCATCCTCTCGACGCAGTCGGCGTAGTCCCCTCTCTCTCTGCCGTCCCTGGCCTAGCTCGCCGAGCTCAGCTGGCCGAGGCACAGCCGTCGGTGGGCGCGTACCGCTCTTACAGCGCCCATCCGACCTGCTGCTGCTCGCTCTGCAGCCAGAGCAGCATGCTCTCACTGTCGGCCACGTCCGCAATCGCAGCAACGAGGCTCTCCGCCTCCTCCTCGTCGGCGTACGACTCGAATGCGGCCATGAGTTCATCGAGCTGTGCGAGCGTGTCGTCGAGGCCCGACATGGCCGAGTACGCAGGCGCAGGCGTCTTGACGGCCTCCGCCACAGCAGCAGCCACAGCGCGGGCAGCACGAGCGGCGACAGCCTGTGCTGCGACCCAGCGACCAGTTCGGCTGGAGCGCGCAACGGGGCAGAGCAGCTCGCAGTCCCACGAGTCCTCGGGCGACTCGCTGGACACGGCGCCAAACACCTGCGGCAGTGGCAGCGGCGGCTGCGCGGCGAGCGCGGCGAGCGCGACCTTGAGCCACACGGCGTGCGTGAGCGGTGCCTCAGCACCGTCGTTGAGCACGATGCGCACGGGGATGCATGCATCCGCCGGCTGCTGCGCAGCGACGCCGACAACGGCAGCACGACGACGACGAGCCTGGATGGCAGCGTCGCCGAGCATGCATGCGCCGTGCGCGGATGGCAGCGCGTGCTTCGACGGGATGCTGTTGACGCGCGACGAGCAAAGCTCGCTCGACGCCGAGAGCACGGGCGACGAGCAGACGCTCGAGGCAGGAGTCGAGCAGGCCTCACTTGCCGTGCACTCAGACTCCCCCTCCGACGAGCACGACGAGGAGGCCTCACTGCTCTCGCTCGTCGTCTCGCTCTGCTCACTGCTGTTGGTCTGGATGGATGCGCGGCTGAGCGAAAGGCTGTCGCGCTTGATCACGAGCGTGAGCGGCTTCAGCATCGACTTGCGCTTCTCTTGCGCGGGCTGCGACGTCGCCGCCGCGGCGAGGAGGAGCGGACGCAGCTGCGAGGCACGCTTGTTGGCAGCGCATGCCTCGCCGCACTGCTCCGACTCGCACTCCTTGCGCGGCGGCATCGGGAACGCAGCAAGCAGCGAGTTGAAGCTGAGGTTGCTGTTCATCTTGTACGAAGTTTCTGTGTCTAGAGGGGTGTCTAGAGGGTGTCCAAAGGTGGATGTGTCTGCGGAGGGCAGGGAGGTGTGTGGTGGAAGAGAAAGTGGGCGCGGCGAGAGGGGCCCGGGGGGAGGCCCTCCTTATATGCCTTTTGGGCGGGGGCGATCCGGCGCCCTCGGGGCGAAAAGACGAGGGCCAGCGAGCAGATTTGCGGGTCCCAACGGCTCGCCTGCAGGAGCACGACGCGTTCGAGGCTGACGCGTCCCGCGCGCACGACGCGATGCCCCTCTCGTGCCCGCTCGGTCCGCGCCGCCCGCAGACACTGAGGCTGCCACGTCACCCTTTAATCCCTGGCCACATCATATTTCTACACGTGGGCATCCATCCACCGCGTCAGTCTGCCTGAAATGCTCTGCCCGAGAGAGCGAGGCGGATGCGTCAGCGCCGCATCTTGAGCGACACGGGGTCGCCCTGTGGCTGTGCTGGCTGCAGATCTCGGGCGTGGGAGCAGCGGTCTGCGCCCCCCGCGGCGCTGCGCCCTCCCTCGCCCGCCGGCGCCGGTCTTACTGCGAGAGATGGCCCACGCATCCAGCTGGCTTGCCTGTCTCCTGAGCTGCAGGCGTACAGCGCTGCAGTATCACACGTGCCGCGGGCGAATGGATGGCTGCGATGTTCTTCTTGCAGGTCGAGAGAACGGCGGGAGTTGCGGCGCGAGCGCGTGTCGCTTCGAGGTGGACGCAGCCAGCCTCACCGTGGCGCATCATCCACTCGTTTGCGTGCCCTTGGTACTGGGCCGCCCACAGGCAGCTTGAGCTGTACCAACGCTGTAAGCTCAGATATTGAGCGCAACAGCAGCGCCTCTCGTGTCCTACAGCGGGCGTCAGGTGGCTTTGCTAGACGACACATGCCCGGCGCGCCGTGCCGCACACGTGGGCTCCGGCGCTCGAGACGCCGCACTCATCGACTTGCCTGCGGCGACGAGCCGTCTCGAATGTGCCGCCTTCGAGCTCGAAAGGCTCATCGCCATGCCTGCCATTCATCTGCGCTCCGTCGAGGCATGGTCTGTGCGAGACGCACGCTTGCGACTCGCCCAACCGGTGCCCCGCACGCGCTGCCTCTCGGTGCTCGAGGCTCATCACAGGCCAGCAGTATGGGACGAGTGGGCTATTTCCGGCTCGCCTCCTCAGCGCTCTCTCCGCCAACGCACGCCGCTCCGAAGCCGCCGACGACCTCGAGAGCGGTGGCACATGGAAGCGGAGTGCCCTTGCGCCGACGCTTCCCTCTTCTGAGGCCGCGCTCGCGCAGGCCGGCGGCGCGGCAAGCAAAAGAGGGGCGAGGTCCCCCGCATGGCCCCTCGCCGCTCAGAGCTTCCGCCTCGTTGATGCGATGCGCTGCTTGCCCGGCGCAAGGCTGTGCGTCTTTCTGCTCGCCTCCTGCCGCGCGGGGCATTGCATTCGAAGAAGGCATGCGAGGACGAGGTGCGGCAGGCTGCAGCGGCCAGCGAGAGCAAGCTGTGATGCGCATGGGCGAGCTGGATGCTGCTGCTGCTGGCTGACGGCACGCCGAGGCGGAGGCGAGGCGGCGCCCCTCCACAGTAAGAGTGCAGCGGCGGCGTCTGATCGGCGTGCCGACGTGCCGAAGCGCGCATCGCTGCTGCGCCGCACTTGCGCGGCGGCGCCTTCTGCGGAGCCGGCGGTTCGGCGTCGGCGAAGCGGCGGCTTGCGCGCTGCTGCTCCTCTCTCGCGAGGGAGAGATCTCGGCCACTCCCCGCGCACTGCGGCTGGCGCGGCCGCTGCGCTGCTGATGCGCTGCGGGCCAGGCACCACATCGGCATCGGCCGCAGCGGTGCACGTTCCACCTCTTGCGTGCTGCGCCTCGCAGTCCGCTTCGCCGCCGCCTGCCGCTTTCCCCCAGCCTCTGCCGCCGGCGAGCCGCTCGGGAGGCGGCGTCAGCGTGCTGCTGCATGCTGCAGCTGCGTGTGCGTCGGCGGTGATGCACTTGCCTCCTCTCAGCGGCTCGTGCACGGACGCCGTACTGGCAGCCGCGCAGTGTTGCTCTCCTCAGCAGGCAGGCAGCGAGCCAGCACAGCCACCTGCCGTGCTCTCACTCTCCGCTCCCCGGAACGCAAGCCGTTGGCGAGAGCGCGAGAGCGTGAGTGCCAGCGCAGCAGCACGGACCTCGTCTCGCCCGCGTGGCGCTCGTATAAGAAGGCCTCACCCGCTGCTCCACCGTCTCCTTGCACACCACCACAACCTCGAACGAACTCAACGTGCGCCCTCCCGCTGGCCGCGCCGCAACAGCCCGCACACGCTCACCTCCGTCCTCTCCTGCGCAGCGTCCCCACCAACCCAAGACACCACCATGGGCTTCTTCTCTTCCGACTCGTGAGTCATGCCCTGCCGCGCGCCCGTGTTTGCTCGTCATCGTGCTCGTTGCTCACCCGCAATGTGGCTCGCGCAGGCACCAGGAGGTCTACAACCAGGAGCCGTGAGAAGACGATGCTCGCAGCCGGGAACACGCTGGCGAGCTGCAGCTGACGCCCGTCCGATGCAACGCGCAGTCGCGAGGGCAAGTGGTCTCACGAGCTCATCGGCGGTGCGTGTCGTGCTCTCTGCTCCTCCTCCCTCTGCGCCCGGCTCACACCTGCCAACGCCTCGTTGCTGCACAGGCGCGGCGGCGTTCGAGGCGATGCGCCAGTACGAGAAGCACGAGGAGCGCGAGGGCAAGCCGCAGAGCCACGCCTTTGCCAAGGAGCTCATTGCCGGCTTTGCGGGCGCCGAGGCCGACAAGCTCTTCGAGACCAAGGGCCTCAGCTTCCTGGACCGCGAGGAGGCCAAGCGCCACGCGCGCCAGCAGGTGAGGGGCTCGGTGCCGCAGAACAGAGGAGCAACGGCTGATGCGAGTGTGCGCACCAGGCGGAGCAGGCGTACGAGGACCGCTACCAGTGATCGTCTCGCGGCCACTCGGGCATGGCTGGATGCGATGCCCTCTGGATGATGATTAATGACCAATCTCTATTCGACCCACCTTGTCGTCGTCGTCGTGTGTGAGGCGGCTGGATGGGGTCGGGAGAGGCTGAAGCTGGCGTAGTGGCAGCGGAGCAGCGCACGGCCGGCGCGGCTGATGAGCACGCGATGCTGAGCATCCCGGCGCCTCGCCTGCAGCAGCGCTGCGTGGCCCGCAATCAAGGCGCCGCTGCCCGCCTGCCCTGCATCGCAGCCACACGCCGCTCGCGGCGCGCCGCTTGCGCTCGCGGCCGCGCCTCGCGTCACGCGCCCCACGCGCTTGAGCCACATGCATTCATCATCCTGCTGCTCATCCACCACCCTCTCGGCGCCGGCGATCTCCACGCGCCGCAGCCCACACCACCACCTCACCTCCACTTGCTCCGCAGCGACGTGCGCTACCCCCTGCCGCGCGTGCGTCGCACACGTGCTGCACGCCGCCATGGACGACGAGTGTCCGCACCCCGTGCAGGTCGGCGGCCTCTGTGCCGTCTGCGGCCACATGGTCGAGCGGTGAGTCGCCGCATCGCACCCTCTCGCGCGCGTCGCTCACTCTCCCTCGCCAGCGACGGCGCGGCAGGCATCAGCATGATGCACGACTCGGCCGGCGTCACCGTCTCGGCGGCCGAGGCGTCGCGCCTCGACAGCGAGAGCACGCAGCGCCTGCTGGCCGCGCGCAAGCTGGCGCTCATCGTCGATCTCGACCAGACCATCATCCACGCCACCGTCGACCCCACGGTGGCCGAGTGGCAGCGCGACCGCAGCAACGCCAACTTCGAGGCGCTGCGCGACGTCGGGCGCTTCTTGCTGGGCACCGACGGCAAGGCCGTGCTCGACCACGACCTGCCGCCGGCGCTGCGCGAGGGCATGGCGCGCGACGCCGAGCAGCTCGAGTCGCTCGAGGCGCACGCCGCCGCCGCTGCGACGCACGGCGGATGCTGGTACTACGTCAAGCCGCGCCCCGGCACGGCCGCCTTCCTGCGCTCCCTCTCGCAGCGCTACGAGCTGCACGTCTACACGATGGGCACGCGCTCGTATGCCGACTGCGTCTGCCGGCTGCTCGATCCCGACGGCAGTCTCTTCGGCGCTCGCATACTCTCGCGCGACGAGAATGGCAGCTTGGTGCAGAAGAGTCTCCGCAGACTGTTCCCCATGGACACGAGCATGGTCGTCATCATCGATGACAGGGCAGACGTTTGGAGATGGAGCCCGAACCTCGTCAAGGTCAATCCTTGTGAGTGCGCTGCTGAGGATGGGAGCCGGGATGGGAGGAGGCGGGGGAGAGGAGGAAGGGGGAAGTGAGAACGTCGCCGGGAGAGAAAGGGGAGAGGGCAGCCGTCGAATGGAGCGGCGTGATGACAGGCGCGCAGTACGCAGCAGCTGATCCGCTCTCTTCTGACGTCGCAAACAGACGACTTCTTCGTCGGCATCGGCGACATCAACGCCACTTTCCTGCCTACAGCGCCCTCGACGCCCAGCCCCACAACGGGCGCGGGCGCCGTCGTCGAGACGCGCGTCGATCCTACGCTCTCCTCCATCGGCTCGAGCAGTGCCTCCCTCTCCTCTTCTTCCCTCTCTGCCACGACGCCCAGCAGCGCCAGCGATAGCAGCGCCAGTAGCGACGCATCAGGCGACTTCGCAGCACAGAGAAGACCTTCGGCGGCAGAGGTGGCAGAAGAGAAGGCAGCCGACGATGCGGCGAAAGTCAAGGCGACGGAGAGTCAGAAGGTCGCGATCACCGAGCAGTTGGGCGCAAGGCCGTTGGCGAGAATGCAGGAGGCACTGGACGAAAAGGCCGCGGCGGAGGGGTCGAGCACGCCGGCGACGACGGAGGGCAAGGAGGAGGGCTCGACTACGCCGCCCCATGCGCCAGCGGATGGCTCTGTGGAAGCAGGCTCGAGTGAGGCAGCAGCCAGCGCGGAGGCGAGCACGAGCGCACAGCCATCCGCTTCGACCGCGTCGGGGGATCGGAGGGGGGAGTCAGGTGGGCAAGCAGCGGGCGCAGCAGCCACAGCCGAGCCAGCCACAGCGCTTCAAGCGCCATTGCCAACATCAGCCGTACCCTCGAGCATGGGCACAGTGCCTTCGCCGCCGCCGCCGCAGCGGCAGTACGCCGTGCTGCGCGACGACGACCGGGAGCTGGTGCGCGTGCAGCGGGTGCGTTTCGATGCCTCGGGGCCGCTTCGATCTTGGCGCATGCTGATGCCTCGCGACAGATACTGGACGACATTCATCGGCGGTGGTACGAGGACTGGGACAGACGACAGGCAGGCCTGAATCCGGCCGAGGCGGGCAAGCCCGATGTCATCGTGAGTCGGTGTGGGCGAGGGGCGAGGGGGGAACAGCCAGGGCAAGGCTGCTCGAGTGACGCGGGGGCAAGAGAGGCGAGCCAGAGGCGCGGCATGCTCGCGGCGTCAGTGCGCGATGCTTACCGCCTGTCTCTGCACGGCAGGACATCATTGCCGAGCTCAAGTTTGCCGTGCTGCTCGGCTGTCAAGTTGTCTTCTCGAGCGTCGTACCGCTGGGGCATCCGCCAGATCTGTGAGTCGCCTTTGCGGCAAGTGCGGCGCTTCCAGCCTCGTTGCGGCTCACACTGCGATACAGCTCCGACCTGTGGCGTCTGGCCGAGGAGTTTGGCGCCTTCTGCACGTCGGATCTGGACGCGGGCACGACGCATCTCGTCACTGCCAAGGTGAGTCCCTTTCTTACGCTTGTGCGTCCGCAGGAATCGCTGATCACACGCGGAATGCAAACACCAGCCCGGCACGGCAAAGGTTAACGCTGCGGAGCGCATGAGTGGCGTCGAGATCGTGTGGCCCAACTGGCTCAACGACAGTGCGGCAAAGTGGGAGCGGCAGCCCGAGGTGCACTACCGCGTGCCCTCGGTGCAAGGCTACGCTGCGCCCTCCGCAGCTGCGGCCAATGGCGACGCCACGACGGCCGACGGTGGCGCGTCCTTGCGCGACGCGCACGAGCCGGCGACACAGCAGCAGCCCGTGCCGTATGGCGACGACGGCCTGGTGGAGATGAACTGGGCAGAGGCGGACGACGAGGTAGACGCGTTTTTGAACGCCTCGGGCTCCGATGACGACGAGGAGGACGACGAGCAGAGCGAGGGCTATGCGACCGAAGGCAGGTGAGTTCCGCTTTGCACGAGGAGCTGGGGGGGGGGGCATTGCTGCCATCGTCTGACGCTCGTTTCTTTCTTTGCCTGCGCCAAAAAGCCGGAGAAGCGCCACTGCCAAGCGCGCACGTCAGTCCTCGGGCGCCCTGCGTTCCGCCAACAGTTCTGCCGACGAGGCCGACGGCGGCGGCCACGACGACGGCGCGAGCGTGAGCACGACGAGCAGCACGCGCTCGCCGCTGAGCAAGCGGCGCCGCGTGGCGGCCGAGCGTGCGGGCGCCAGCCGCCTCAAGCAGACGGTCAGCGAGGCGGGCACCGACGACTCGTTCGACGACAGCCTGCTCGACATTGCCCGCCAGCTCGAGCAGGAGGCGGCCAATGCTCAGGCGCGCGAGGATGCCGCCGTCTGATAGAAGAGCTGCCCGCGCCTCGCCCTTCGCCTCTCGCCATCTCTCTCTCTCTCTCTCTTCTCCCCTATCTGCGCAGCCTTCTGCGGCCCATGCGCCACGGGCACTTACTCTCTCTCTCTCTCTCTCTACATCGTCTCGTCACTGGTTACCCTAGCACTGCGCCTCCACCCACACACCCACCGCTACTCATCCGCCCCGCGCACTGTTGCGTCTCCGTGTTGCCACGCTCTCCTCGGTCCTGGGTCACTCTGCGCCCGCCTGCCCTCCTCATCTGCCGCGTGCGCCGTGTAACAACAAGGTCTCCGTGCCCCCATCTGCGACTCGGTGAGGCAAGTGGTGTCTTTCTTGGATCCGAGGCAAAAAGTAGGAACAGGCGGGGGAAGACAGCGAAGAGAGAAAGAGGGGGCGGTGCGCAGCTCATGCTTGACTGGGCATACAACGCTCTACTGCTGCGCCAGCGGGTTGGGCAGGCTGCGCGCCGGCTCGGGGCTGGCAATCTCGGGCATGGCGAGGTCCTGCGGGTAGGCGTTTGCCAGGTGGCCGCCGTAGAGGACCTTGCCGTGCTGCGCCTGGTACTCGGCAATGCGCGCCTCGATGGTGGGGCGGAAGTGGCGCAGCAGGCCCTGCACGGGCCACGCGGCCGCATCGGCCAGCGCACAGATCGTGTGGCCCTCCATGGCGCGCGTCAGCTCCCAGATCTGCGCAGAGGGACGTCAGTTTGCATGCGCGAGGTGGGTGTGGCGAAGGCAGGAAACAGGCAGCAAGGCCCACACCAAAAAGAACGCACCTGGTCAATCTCGCGCATGTCGGCACGGCCCTTCTCCATGCGGCTCATCATCTCTGCAATCCACGTCGTGCCCTCGCGGCACGGCGTGCACTGGCCGCACGACTCGTGCTTGTAGAACTTGCTGAAGCGCGAGATGGCCGCAATCACGTCCGTCGACTTGTCCATGACGATGACGGCGCCCGTGCCCAGACTCGAGCCGGCGTCCTTGAGGCCGTCAAAGTCCATCAGCGCGCCGTCGGCCTTGTCCTTGGGCAGGATGGGCACCGACGAGCCGCCGGGCACGATGCCCAGCAGATTGTCCCAGCCGCCACGCACGCCGCCGCAGTGGCGCTCGATGAGCTCGCGCAGCGGAATGCCCATCTCCTCCTCGACGACGCAGGGGTTGTTGACGTGTCCGGAGATGGCAAACAGCTTGGTGCCCTGGTTCTTGTCGCGCCCAAAGCCGGCAAACCACTCTGCGCCGCGGCGCAGAATCGTCGGCGCCGCGGCGACCGTCTCGACGTTGGCGACGGTGGTGGGACAGCCAAAGACGCCGACGTCGGCGGGGAACGGCGGCTTCAGCCGCGGCTTGCCCTGCTTGCCCTCGAGCGACTCGATGAGCGCAGTCTCCTCGCCACAGATGTAGGCGCCCGCGCCCTTGTGCACGTAGACGTCAAAGTCGTAGCCCGAGCCGCACGCGTTCTTGCCGATCAGGCCCGCCTTGTACGCCTCGTGCACGGCCTGCTGCACGTGCGCAGCCTCGAGGTAGAACTCGCCGCGGATGTAGATGTAAGCTAGACAAGAGCGCGGCATCAGCTTCGGCAGAGAAGAGAGCGGGAAACAGGAACAGGCGGCCGCCTCCTCGAAAGGGCCGCGCGTCTGCCGGCGCCGAGGGCCCCACAAGCGAGACACTGGTGGCCACGGACCTTGGCCCTCATCGCAGCGAGCCAGTCCACTCGAAGCTGCATCCTCTGTCATGCGCGCCCACCTCGCCCCTCCTTCTCGCCGCATCGCAACTCACCGGCGTTTGCGCCCATGGCGCGGCCGGCGAGCAGGCATCCCTCGATGAGCTTGTGGGGATCGCCGCGCATAATCTCTCTGTCCTTGCACGTGCCCGGCTCGCCCTCGTCGGCGTTGATGACGAGGTAGCGCGGGCGCGGGTCCTTTTCCCAGCCGGGCTTCAGCATGAAGCTCCACTTGAGGCCCGAGGGGAAGCCGGCGCCGCCGCGCCCGCGCATGCCCGACTTCTTCATCTCGGAGATGATCCAGTCGTGCCCCTTGAGCACGAGCTCCTTGGTCTTGTGCCAGTCGCCGCGCTTCTGCAGAAGGGAGAGGAAAAGCAGGGTGAGCCCGCCGTCTTGTCTGTGCCAGATGCGAAGCCCCGGCCCTCCCACGCCGCAACTCGATAAGGATGGCAAGGAGCGACGGGCCCTGCGCCTGCGCCACGGCAGCCTCTCTGGCAGCACATGCGCCGCTGCTGACGGCGCGCTGCCTCGCCTTGGCCCATCAGCGCGCCCCTCCCCCATTGCCTTGCACCCCCACGCCTTCGATTTGCCTCTCTCTGCACGCACCTTTGCACCGGCCAGCAGATGGTCGTGGCGCAGGTAGGCATTCTGGAAGATGCGGTCCTGGTCGCGCAGGCCGCCGTGGCTGCGCTTGGGCGCGTCGGTGACGGTGGCCAGGCCGCGTGCGGCGGCGGGCACGGCCGAGGCGGCCGCGGGCAGCCGTGCGGCCGAGACGGCCTTGGCGCGCGCGAGAGTGGCTAGAGGAAGGGTGAGCAACAGAGGAGAGAGAGAGGACAAGCAGTGAACGTACTGGCGCGCTGCATGGTGAGGGACGGTGTGGGGGAGAGAGAGGAGTGCGAGCGCTGCGACGCCGACGACGACGCCGCCGAGCAGCAGCGATCAGCAGCCGCTGCAGCGAAGCGACGGCCTCGCGCGCGCCGCCGCCGCCGCCGCCACGCTTGGCTGACGCTCGCCTCGCGCGTGGCTGGCGCCGACGGCGAGCCGCCGAGAGCGAGCGCCAATCGCGCCCTGCTGCTGACGCGACGACGCGGGCCGCGCGTGGGAAGTGTCACGTGCACGCGCGCCCCGCCGCGCCTCTCCACCTGCTGCTGCCGCTCTCGCTCTCTCCCCCCCCCCCCCCCCCCGCGCCATCCCCTCAGCCGCACATTCGCGCCCCCATGTCCGGCACGCCCCTGACGCGCCTCTTCGGCGTGCGTGGTGCTGCGCTGCGCCTCGCCCCTTCCTCCTCCTCTCGCTCGCTGCGCACCTCGGCGGCCTCGCGCGCCTCGCAGGCGTCGCAGCAGTACGACTCGCTCTACTCCTCCGCCTACGCCGGCCAAGGTGCGCGTGCAGACCAGCCGAAATGGTACCGCTCGCCCACGACGCTGCTCCTCGGCTTCATCCCGCTCTTCACGCTCGGCCTCGGCGTGTGGCAGATGCAGCGCCTAAGCTGGAAGCTCGAGCTCATCGACGAGCTCGAGCAGAAGCTCACGCTGCAGCCCGTGCAGCTGCCGATGCGCGTCGAGTGAGTGGCGTGTGTGTGTGCTGCAACGGGAGTGGTGAGGGAGCGGAAGTCACAGGGCCCCATGGCGTGCCGCAAGGCGAGCAAGGAGGCAGGCCAAGTGCTCAAGCCCAGACGCGCACGCGGGCACCGCAGCGCAGCGGCACAGATGGACAAGGGCGGCAGAGCGCGCGTTGCTTGGCTGAGAAGGAAAGATGGGCAATGGGAGGGGTGCGTGTCTTGCAAGGCGAGCTGGGAACAGCAAGCGTGTTGTCCTCTCTCTCTCTCTCGCGCGCCGGCCACTCTGGGCACAGAAGCGTGGCCGCGCAACCCCCAGGTGCCCCTCTTGTCGTCGCGCGCGAGCGAGGCAAAGCAGGGCAGCCTGTGCGCCCGTTCCTTCGGCTGCCGTCACTCCCCCGCCCATGCCCAGTTGCTGTGCCGTCGCATGCTCAAGCAGCCCAGTCGGATCTTCTCATTCGCGCCCCCTATGCCCGCCTTTTGCCTTGCCCTCTCCCCCCGGCTGACACATCTGCCACCCTCTCCCACAGTTCCGCGCTGCTCGACTCCCTCACCTTCCGCACCGTGCATCTCTCTGGCACCTTCGACTATTCGCGAGCCCTCTTTCTCGGGCCGCGCGTGCGCGAGGGCACGCTGGGCTACCACGTCGTCGTGCCGCTGCAGCGCGCCGCGGGCGGCGCAGACGTGCTCGTGGACCGCGGCTTTGTGGCCGAGAAGCACATTGTGGGCAAGGGCAAGGCGCGGCGATTGAAGCCTGAGGCCATGGTGCGTTTCTCTCTTTCTCGTCTTTCCACACACCCCGATCGTCGCCATCTTGCACACTGACGCTGTTTGTGTTGGCGTAGGAGACGGGCAAAGTCTCGCTGACCACCATGGCGCCTCGAGTCTACCCGCCAAACATGTTCACGCCCACCAACACGCCGCACACGGGCGAGTGGTTCCACGCCGATCCGCACGCCATGGCCGCGTGGATGTCGGGCGCGGCGGGCGCGGCCAGCCTGGACGACGCACAGGAACACGCAGGCGAGCAGGAGGATGCACATACGCTGAGCGCGGGCATTGGCAAGGGCGTGCGAGAGATGCTGGGCCTGGGAAAGAAGGGAGAGAAGAGAGTCTTGCCGGCGCTGTTCGAGGAGGTGTTCGGTGCGTATCGTCCCCCCCCTCCCCCAA